CATAGCAAAGGTCTCTAAGCACACTCCCTTCGCTCCTGGTCTGAGATCACTAAGCTGCTCTGCTGAGGAGCAGGACATATTCATAATCTACACGTAAGCTACATTCCGAGCTGCAAAAGGTAAGTTGGAGGTCACAACAGCAACACTCCAAAATGCCCTTTACTTAGTAAACCCCTAAGTGAAAGCACATCATTGGAAAGATGCTCTACTGCCTCTGATACAAAGCCCATTCCTCAAGACCAATCCTCCATCAGGGGGTTCTGGATTTAAGGAGAGTCAGTCTTGCCCAATCCCTGGGATGCTGCTCTAACTGAAGTATATTTTAGAATCATCTGCAGCTTAATTGCCCACCGTACACTTACGATCTCCTGGAGAAATTTCCTTCAGACATCAGTGTGAGGAACAGTTCTGTCTCATTTAATCTATCAACTGGAATGCTTTTATTTTTTGGAAAATATGAGACCTTTTAAGAGGCTGTTTTCCTTTTGCTTTGACTGCTAGAAAGCCCAAAGCCAAAATGGAAACCCAACTTCACTAACTCTGAAGACTGGAACAGTATGTATTTCCTGAGATATCTCACTATTCTACCTTCATCTTTTACCCTGATTTACTTGCATTTCATGGTTATATATTGTGAACGTGTCACAAATCCTTTCTGGAAGAGCAAGGGACCTAAAACCAATCAATCAAAAGATCCGCTCCAGAAAAAACGAGCCATGTATCATTCACAGGAGCACTACCATCTACACCCAATGTTCCCTTAAACCTCATGGAATAAACACTATTACTCCTATAGTTTTCTGCAACATCAGACGCAATCCCTCATACTCCAATCCACAACATAATCAGGTTTCTCGGAGATCACCATAAATCTAAGCGATGATTCAGGGATGGTACGGTTCTATCCTTCCTATACACTCAATTGCTTCTCTTCTCCATTGCACCTTTCAGATACATTCCATCCTCTTTTGAAGAATCGTAGGAATTCTCTCTCCCTAACAAATGAGACTCCAGGGCATCCCAGGTTGACACAACACAGAGAGACATTCCCAAGGCCCATCACTAACTTGATTTAAGCAGCCAGACTAAAAAAAAATCCCCAGGAGCACATAGGATCGCACTTTACTTTTAAAGGTTTGGTTGAGAAATTGGCTCCTATCAAAAGTTAGGCACAGTCAAAAATTAAACCTGGGCATCCCTAAGTTGCTCACCAAGTACATAAGGTTTTATGGCTGCAACCTCTAATCTGTCCTTAGGCAATGTTTCTCCTGAGCCCCTCAGTTCATTATCTCTCCTGGGCATGTGAAAATCCTCTTATACCCACTTGCCAAACCAACTGAAAAATGTGCTGACCGCTTTGACAATGGGAAGGACACCCTTCCTATCGTTCACACACGTTCCTTCCGGCGGGCCTGCCAACATGCCTGGGCTGACAGGCTGGAGGGCAGCCACTGCTAGTTCCAGCCGACAGAAGCGACAGAGGCACCGCTGAGGTCAGGCGGCAGCTCTCTACACCAGGGGAGATGTCTGCCTCCCAGGGGGACCTCTGGCAATGTCAAGACATTTTTGATTGCCACAACCAGGCAGATGCTACTAGCACCCAGTGGGCAGAGGTCAGGGATGCTGCTGAACCACCTCTAATGCACAGGGCAAAGAAGTACATCCAGCACAAAATGTTGGTAGAGCCAGGGCTGAGAAACCCTGGACTCAGGTCCATGAAATGCAAATACACGGAATGCCAGTTCGGGTACCCACCTGATCAGTACCTTCGATTTCCAGTGCCCCAGGAAGCACTCAGCATTCTGGTATCACCTGACCCAAGGGCTCTCGTGCTCTAGTGATAAAATTACACTTTGAGATGCCTGGAGAGCACGAAGGGAGGAAGGGAGTGCTGAATTCATCAACATCTTTGAACTAAACACTTCTTGACAATTTCAGCCTTGTCGCATGTCTAAATGTTGACAAACACATTAGAAAAATGAGTGACATATTGGGAAGGAAGTTGCTCAGGCACTGACCACTAGAAACACCTACTATTTTCTATGAGACTTCTTTTTCTGTGCTCAAAATCAACCACACTGGCTACTAAGCAGGTGAAAAGGCAGGTAAGCCCAGGTCCTAGTCCTGTTCAGTAAGTAGAAAGGTGACTGTGACGTAACGGAAGCTTTGCTAGGCCTCCCTTCGTGATGTCAGAGGGTCACAGAATTTTGGATGACACCAGTGCAAGGAGGCATTCAAAACTAAATCAAGAAACTGGAAGCTGGTACAGTCACTTACCATCCTGCTTGGGAGATGGTTCTTTGGGCTCCTTCTTATTTTTTCGACCCTCCCGCCCAGAATGGTCTTCTCCTAAATCTATGACAAGTTCACTCTCTGAATCGGAGTCCAGGCCCAAATGTACTGTTGGGGAATCCATCTCATCTTTTCCCTTCAGTTTATCCTTTGTGGGATGAGGTGAGGGTTTTGCTTTTTCCGCAAAGTCCTTCTCAGGCTGGGGACTTGCCTTTTCTTTGACTGAGCCTGGATCCGCTTTCTCACCGGTTGGAGATGTGCTTTTCAGCTCCTCTTTAGTCTCCACTGGGTTTGCCAGTTTGGGCTTTTTTTTGACAGCAGATGGCTCTTTGTCCATCCGACCACCCTCTTTGTCTTCCGCATCCTCTGGCTCATTCTTGGACTTCTGCTCGTCATCACTGATATATTCGCTATCGCTACTGTCTGACTTCTCGGAATCCTCCGAATCGCTGTGCTCTACGGCCGTATAAACATCTTCTGAGATTTCATTTATGCCTAAATTCAAAAAGAAAACCCAGCATGTGGTGCAGTCACAAAATAAAAAGCAGGACCCAAACCACAAACATTTCCAAACCAAATGCTGGAGTAAAAAAACATTTCAAATCGCATCACGGTGGCCTGGTGGGGTGAGCCATGAACTAAGGTTGCAACTGACTACAGCAGAGAAATGGGACTTGTGTTTGGAGAGGGTTTCAGTTACTAACAAAGACAACCTGGGGCCCAGCAACATAAATTTAGAATTTATCTGGAGCTAAGTTCTTTGCAACACTGACAACTAATTGGGATACAGAGAATGGGAGAGGGACAGGAGAGAACACCAGAGATGGGCTGTTAAAATGGATCCATTTTACAGATTGCAAAATAGAGGCCCAGAGAATGACCCAAAGGAAACCAGACGAAGGCAAAGCCAGAACCCTGGGCTCCTGACTCACTCACCACTGGCACCCTTCCCACAAACTCCCAAAGCATGAAAGGCCATTACCATTTGTGTCCAGGGCTCAAAGCAATAATCCAAACTCTTAAAGCAGAAGTTGCAAATTCACAAACCACAAGCCATATCTGGCCAGCAGACATGTTTTATTTAGGAAGCCGTGGTTTGGCCCACAGGGCGTTTCATCATTCGCTTTTTGTTTTTTAACTTAGAAGCTGCTGCCCAATTCACAAGTCAGGAGATTTCACACAGAAATTAAGATGGCAGCCCTGATCTGCCCACTCTGGTCACAGGCCCACAAGGCAGAAGCCACCAGGCCCCTTCGGCAAAGAGGCCCCACCTCCAGTGAGCCAAGCGTTTCACCCCACTCCTGCTTTCTGCACTGATGCAGAGTCATCTGCCACTGCATCTGCAATGCTCTTCCACGTACAATGGAGTCAAGAGGAAAGGGGCACGTTTCCACGTTGCTGTCAAAAAGGGAAGAGAACAGCAGATGTTTTGCACACAAACAAAAATGGGCAGAAGCTTATTTCTAACAATAGGTCCATTTAGCTCATTTACGATTCCTGCTCCCAGTAATGAGCACCATCGGCTGTAAGTGAATAACAGTGCACCCTAAAATTCTGAAATAAGGAAAACCCGATCTGGACCATCTTTATTCTAGAGAAATGGCCACCATGAGTGTGAGGTCACTGCCCTGACCCAGACATACTGAAGGCACACTCACAAAAAAGATTAAGAGCCATGAAGAACCCAAGCACTGGATACCAGCAGAATCATTAGTGAATTATATCCACCTCCACCAGGGCTCAATCAGAAACAGAGGTCAAAATACAAAAACCCAGATCTGGTATAATGTCTGGGTCCTAGGGCTTGTGCTACTCGTCAGACTCAAGATGGACAAGTAGGACCACACATGTGTTAGGAAAAGCCTGGGTAGTAGAGCCCAGAGAAATCTAATTCAAATCTTGCTCCTCTGTTTTTATTAGCTGTGTGACCCCAAAGGAGTGTTCTACCTCTCTGAGCCTCAGTTTCTTCATCTGCAAAATGGGACTGCTCATAGCATCAACCTCTCAGGACAATCTGCACAGTGTTTAGCACAGCGCAAGGTGCCCAGCAAGTACCTGGTAAATGGAAATACTAAAATTCTCATTAACAATAATACTGAACCAAGGAGTTAGGTTAGCTGTGTAGAGGGACCCAAGGGGGATATTTAAATGGCCTGCACAATTTCACCCATGCCACTCAATGTCCTAACCAAACAGGAAACCCAGTAAGGAATACATTCTGGATGACTCCCAACTAAGCTCCTTTCTCACCCACTGAGAATGTAACCCTATGTCACCTGAGACTCAGCCATCTCCTACTCTTTGGTAAATCCTCTCCTGGCTTTGTTTACTTATTCCACAAATATTCCAGAGCATCTATTACATGCAAAAGACCATGTACCTTGGTGAAGGCAAATGCTTATAAAGCAACCTCCCTGCCCTCAAGGAACTCTCAGTCTAGAGGGCTACTACCCCCACACAAAGGGACCACTGAGGCTTCTGAGCATTTAAGTGCCACAGGAAGGCAGGCAGAAGGGGAGGGCAGTCAGAGGAGACTTCCTGGAGGAGGTAATACTCATCACAGTAAGTAGAAAGGTGACTGTGACGTAACGGAAGCTTTGCTAGGCCTCCCTTCGTGATGTCAGAGGGTCACAGAATTTTGGATGACACCAGTGCAAGGAGGCATTCAAAACTAAATCAAGAAACTGGAAGCTGGTACAGTCACTTACCATCCTGCTTGGGAGATGGCTCTTTGGGCTCCTTCTTATTTTTTCGACCCTCCCGCCCAGAATGGTCTTCTCCTAAATCTATGACAAGTTCACTCTCTGAATCGGAGTCCAGGCCCAAATGTACTGTTGGGGAATCCATCTCATCTTTTCCCTTCAGTTTATCCTTTGTGGGATGAGGTGAGGGTTTTGCTTTTTCCGCAAAGTCCTTCTCAGGCTGGGGACTTGCCTTTTCTTTGACTGAGCCTGGATCCGCTTTCTCACCGGTTGGAGATGTGCTTTTCAGCTCCTCTTTAGTCTCCACTGGGTTTGCCAGTTTGGGCTTTTTTTTGACAGCAGATGGCTCTTTGTCCATCCGACCACCCTCTTTGTCTTCCGCATCCTCTGGCTCATTCTTGGACTTCTGCTCGTCATCACTGATATATTCGCTATCGCTACTGTCTGACTTCTCGGAATCCTCCGAATCGCTGTGCTCTACGGCCGTATAAACATCTTCTGAGATTTCATTTATGCCTAAATTCAAAAAGAAAACCCAGCATGTGGTGCAGTCACAAAATAAAAAGCAGGACCCAAACCACAAACATTTCCAAACCAAATGCTGGAGTAAAAAAACATTTCAAATCGCATCACGGTGGCCTGGTGGGGTGAGCCATGAACTAAGGTTGCAACTGACTACAGCAGAGAAATGGGACTTGTGTTTGGAGAGGGTTTCAGTTACTAACAAAGACAACCTGGGGCCCAGCAACATAAATTTAGAATTTATCTGGAGCTAAGTTCTTTGCAACACTGACAACTAATTGGGATACAGAGAATGGGAGAGGGACAGGAGAGAACACCAGAGATGGGCTGTTAAAATGGATCCATTTTACAGATTGCAAAATAGAGGCCCAGAGAATGACCCAAAGGAAACCAGACGAAGGCAAAGCCAGAACCCTGGGCTCCTGACTCACTCACCACTGGCACCCTTCCCACAAACTCCCAAAGCATGAAAGGCCATTACCATTTGTGTCCAGGGCTCAAAGCAATAATCCAAACTCTTAAAGCAGAAGTTGCAAATTCACAAACCACAAGCCATATCTGGCCAGCAGACATGTTTTATTTAGGAAGCCGTGGTTTGGCCCACAGGGCGTTTCATCATTCGCTTTTTGTTTTTTAACTTAGAAGCTGCTGCCCAATTCACAAGTCAGGAGATTTCACACAGAAATTAAGATGGCAGCCCTGATCTGCCCACTCTGGTCACAGGCCCACAAGGCAGAAGCCACCAGGCCCCTTCGGCAAAGAGGCCCCACCTCCAGTGAGCCAAGCGTTTCACCCCACTCCTGCTTTCTGCACTGATGCAGAGTCATCTGCCACTGCATCTGCAATGCTCTTTCTTCCACGTACAATGGAGTCAAGAGGAAAGGGGCACGTTTCCACGTTGCTGTCAAAAAGGGAAGAGAACAGCAGATGTTTTGCACACAAACAAAAATGGGCAGAAGCTTATTTCTAACAATAGGTCCATTTAGCTCATTTACGATTCCTGCTCCCAGTAATGAGCACCATCGGCTGTAAGTGAATAACAGTGCACCCTAAAATTCTGAAATAAGGAAAACCCGATCTGGACCATCTTTATTCTAGAGAAATGGCCACCATGAGTGTGAGGTCACTGCCCTGACCCAGACATACTGAAGGCACACTCACAAAAAAGATTAAGAGCCATGAAGAACCCAAGCACTGGATACCAGCAGAATCATTAGTGAATTATATCCACCTCCACCAGGGCTCAATCAGAAACAGAGGTCAAAATACAAAAACCCAGATCTGGTATAATGTCTGGGTCCTAGGGCTTGTGCTACTCGTCAGACTCAAGATGGACAAGTAGGACCACACATGTGTTAGGAAAAGCCTGGGTAGTAGAGCCCAGAGAAATCTAATTCAAATCTTGCTCCTCTGTTTTTATTAGCTGTGTGACCCCAAAGGAGTGTTCTACCTCTCTGAGCCTCAGTTTCTTCATCTGCAAAATGGGACTGATCATAGCATCAACCTCTCAGGACAATCTGCACAGTGCTTAGCACAGCGCAAGGTGCCCAGCAAGTACCTGGTAAATGGAAATACTAAAATTCTCATTAACAATAATACTGAACCAAGGAGTTAGGCTAGCTGTGTAGAGGGACCCAAGGGGGATATTTAAATGGCCTGCACAATTTCACCCATGCCACTCAATGTCCTAACCAAACAGGAAACCCAGTAAGGAATACATTCTGGATGACTCCCAACTAAGCTCCTTTCTCACCCACTGAGAATGTAACCCTATGTCACCTGAGACTCAGCCATCTCCTACTCTTTGGTAAATCCTCTCCTGGCTTTGTTTACTTATTCCACAAATATTCCAGAGCATCTATTACATGCAAAAGACCATGTACCTTGGTGAAGGCAAATGCTTATAAAGCAACCTCCCTGCCCTCAAGGAACTCTCAGTCTAGAGGGCTACTACCCCCACACAAAGGGACCACTGAGGCTTCTGAGCATTTAAGTGCCACAGGAAGGCAGGCAGAAGGGGAGGGCAGTCAGAGGAGACTTCCTGGAGGAGGTAACACTCATCTCAGCCTTAGGGGCAGGGTTCAAGTAGGCAGTGTGCAGGCAGGCAGCATGGGGAAGAGGAAGGGAGGCAGCAGGTACAGAAACAGGATGGGTTTGCCAGGTGGGGAGCAGCCCAGGCTGGCGGGAAAGAGTCTGTGTCGCACACTTGTGGGACACACTTGATCCTCATGTGGAAACACTGCCAGGTACTTGGAGGGAGCACAGAGGCAAATTCTGGAGGGTCTCTTTCAAACCTCCTACAACCTGCACCTCACGTCTGCAGGCTGCCCCAGCCAACAAATAAACCCTGAGACATTCAAAGAGCCCCTCTGGACAATGAACTAAGAATCTGAAATACTTTGCCCTGAGTGGAATTATATTTTAATTGAACAACACAATTCAAGGTTAAAGCAGCTGCTAAAAGCAACCAGGGTCCAACTCCGATTTCATCCAGCTGGTCTTCCTGTACCTAATGATGCCAATGACGATGGTGCCAACAAACCAAAAGACATACCTAATTGTGCTTTGCAACTCTCTATCGTCTTGTCGAGATTGAGCTGGAACCTGCTGCGGATCTGCCGCTTGGGAGAGATGAGAGGAACGGGGGCAGACTGCTGCTGGACCGACTCGCTCAGCTCCTTCAGGTCCATCTCGGCCTTGCTCCGGTCTGGAAGACATCATACCCTCGTAAGACGAGGAGCTGGAGGGATGCACCAACAATGCTCATCACTTAGATTCCTTCTCAAAAACACACATTTGAGAACACGGGGCAGAAAAAAAACCTGAAAACATTTCCGTTGTCTGTCCCAACAATGTCATCTGCTCCACACAACAGTCTGACTTGGAGATAATAGCCTGAGAAAACATTTGGCAGATTTTACTCAGTCTACTGACAGCCTGGGCTGCTGTCAATATTTTAAATGCACAGTCCCAGCCAGATGATTGTCTGTGGAACTCAGTATCATTAGGGGATCTCAAAAGCCAAAGGTTATAGTAATATGCTCAATCTCAATCTCAGCAGATAAAGGGATGCCAAGGCTGCCCAGAGAATGCTTTTAACATCAAGCCCACATCAGAGAGGGCTTGTAACCAAGACAGAGGCTGAGCCCCTCAGAGACCACACCGAGCACACAGCTCCTCATTTACCATGGAGGCTGCATTTTTCATTCTTCACTCACATAGTCTGGAGCTGAAATGAGAAAAGGAGGAAAAATACAAGACAGGCAGACCCTCATGCCAGTCTGCTATACCTCCCTTTGCTTCACAGCTTCTATCCAAAGAAAGGTGAGTGGATTAGCCCTGAACATTAAAACCTGCATCTTCCTGCTCAGATACAAGTCCAAAACCCTCACCTGAATCCCGGGCAAAGGCCTCTGACAAATGACCCACCAGGGGTCCTGCCCCCAGCTTCTGCCACAGGCTCTTTATACAACCAATTGGACCAGATTCCAAGGGTCTGCTAGCTTACATTTCTGCAATTCCTTTCCCACCTCCTCCAGTGCCCCCAAAACCTAAGAATGGGACAAAATGAAGGCAGCTTCAAAGGCCCTGGTAACAATGAGAGACTTTGCAGGCACGGAGCACATCTTTCACCCCACCTGCCACCCTCTGGTACCTGCTCCGCTGACCTCAAGTGGAAACTATGGGGTGTCTTCTTTACCCTGGCCAACCCCAGAAAACCAGTCAGAAAGCATGTGGCATCTATCAAAGACAAAGATGAAGCCACCTTGAGCCTGTTCCTAACAGCCGTGAGCTCACTCCCTGCCATCCCAGGCCCCCACGCCAAAGCCACCTCCATCCACCAGGCTGTTAGAGGCCCCGGATACAGACCAGGAGCAGGACTGCGAAAGCTATTCCAAGCCAACTTCACTATCTTCCCTCGTTTTTGTTTTGCTCTCCGACACGAGCCACACACCTTCTCCTTTACCCAGGAGGGGACATTGTCTTACACTGCGCACCTAGAGATTCATTCCTTTAAAGTGACCAGAGGTGGCCTCCCAAAAAGTCACACCCAATGCAGTCATAGGTGACCATTGCCAACAAATTACTCCAATTTGATTTTATCACCGTAACGAGGTCCCCACCAAGGTAAGATTAGGAAGGGCCTTTGACCAAACACACACTTGGGGCAGCCGCCAGGGAAGATTCCAGAAATGAGTACTCAAAGCAAACACAGACACCATCTTATACAAGAAGAGCCTCTAAAAACATATCCACGTGTGAGCATGTGCATGCACATGCATGCGTCTGTGCCTGTGGTGTACGCATGCATGTGCCGATTCGGGGCTCCCCAGGGAGCCTATCAGAGCCAGGTTACCAGGTGCCCACCAAGAGGCTGGTACAAATGCACAGCCCCTTCAGAGGGGGAAGAATGTTTGCTCAAATTTACTGGAGAAGCACTTTCCAAAAAAGTGAAACAGTGATAAAACCAAAAAGAAAAGGAGGAGGAGGACCAAGGCCACAGAGAAAAAAAGAAAGTTCTGACTTAAGAGCAGTACAAGTAGCATTTAGGGACTTCAACAGCTGAGCTTTATTTGAGTGTGGCAGCAAAAGGGGAAGAATATGAAGCCTGTCTCCTAATTTCCACTTTCAAAACTGAAGCAGCACACTGGATGGATTTCCAGAGGGAAAAGAAGTATCTCACAAAAATACTCCCCAGTATGTGGGGCAGGAGGGGGAATGTTACCCAGTGATGTGCTCATACTACCCTCAATAACATTCCCGTATGTTAATAGATTCCACACCGCAGTTACGGAAAAACACCCTCTACTCTACACCAGGAATCAACGAACTTTCTCTATAAAGGGCCAAGAACAAATTGGGCTCTTCGGGCCCTGTAGGCACTGCTGCAAAAACAGCTGTAAACATTGTGTAAATAAATGGGGGTGGGTGGGTGCCAATAAAACTTTATTTACAAAAATGGGGAGGGACACCCCAGTGACTGCTAACCTTAGCTACATACTGATATAGCCTATAGAGCTTTAAAACAATCCTACTGCCTTAGCCCCACCCCCAGAGATTCTGAACTAACTGACAAGGGGAAGGCCTGGACACTAGCTTTTTACAAGGTCCCCAGGTGATATGATTGGCAGCTCAGGTTGAGAACCCCTGTATTAGATCAATCTTCTGTGTGGGTAAGGACAGCCCCTCATGGTTTGCCTTAACCCTTGTATATCTGTGTTAATAGTATCACTCCTGTATACTTAGGGTTCACAAAGGACATCTGAACTTCACCAGAATAATCTTCACCAGAATAACCATGTGTGCGTGCATGTATACCTGTGTGTGCCTACAGCAAATTCAATCTCTTAACTTTGGCCTAAAAAGACTGAACTCAGGATTATTCATCATCGAGTGGAAGGAAAAGAAGGTAAAGCACCTCATTTTAAAAACTAAGGTTTGTCTGGCCAATAACCTACCACAATGTTTATTCTAACAAGAAACCACCAAAAGCCAGGGGCTGGGATCAGGTCCCTCTGGAAGCGGACCTTCAGGAGTTCAGCCAAATGTAATTATCTTTCTGGAACTTTCAGTTGTGTTTGACTTTCCTCTTCTCTGCAGAGAGAAAAAAGGAGCTTCTCTTTCTCATTTATTAGCTCACAGCTTATCACCACCCCTGCCCTTCTATATCAAGAGTATCTTCAGAATCTACCCTTGCTGCCAACATTTTGAACTTTTCAGGTGATAGGAAGACAGCTTAGGCTATAAATGGAAACCAGGGATAAAAAAATATACCCAAGCTTAGAGGAAGAGGCACAGACCTACATTTCTGGAGGGAGCATAAATCAGAACCACCCCTTTAGAGGGCAGTTGGGCAGTATCTCTCAAAACGTCAATCACACATGGCCTCTGACCCAAGATTCCACTTCTAGGAATTTATCCTATGGATATACTCCCACGTGAGCAGAAGGGTCTTCAACTGCAGCTGTTTTTAACAGCAAAAGTAGAAAACAATCTACACTCAATAAATAAGGTGCCTGGATAAGTAAGTTCTTGAAATGGAATAAAATACAACTGCTAAAATAAAAGTGTAGCAGATCTTTATGGCTGATAGGGAGAGCCAATACAAAAGAAGGTGGCATTCAATAAAGTGTGGTAGCCTTGATATGGGGAAGGAAAGAAGGAAATGGACGAATATGTGTGGTCTTGGGGTTTTTCAACACTGGCCTACTGACATTTGGGCCTGGGTAAGTCTTTGTTAGGGGATGGGGGGCTAGTCCATGCACCACGGAATTTAGCAGCATCCCTGACCTCCACCCACTAGATGACAGGGGCACCCACATCCCTGCTGTGCCAATAAAAATGTCTCCAGATATGGCCAAATGCCCCTGGGGGATGAAATCACCCGGGCCAAGAACCCCTGGTGTACCTAGAAGAGCTCTCCAAATACAAAAAGAGGCACATGGTCACCACTGGAGAGGAGGCGCAGGGACTGGGGATCAGAGGCTGGAGACAGGCTGGCTTCTCATTAAATGTCTTTGCACCTGTTTACTAAATTTCTCTTACCATGCGTCCTCACTACTTATAAAAACAAAAACTTTTTAGAGAAAAAATGTTAAGTACTTCTTTCTCAGTTAAAAAAAAATATAGATCTTTGTTCAAAAGCTGCAGACTTCCAGGAGCCACAAAAAGGGGGTTCCTTCAAAGGAACAACGTTCAGACAAGAAACCCTGGCAGATGCTCTCTTATCAATCAAAGGTAAGCAGAGATCTTCCTCACCTCATACACTGTAAAAAAAAAAAATCAAGACATCAGGGAAACCCAGGGCCCCCAGGTCTGCATCCACGTTCTCAAAGAATGCCTCGCTTCCAAGCTACCACTTGATGTGGAGAAAGAAAGGAGGCTTCCCATCAGTGACTGCAGAGGGCTAAACAAGCAGAAATGCGCCAGGTCTGACAGCTTCCCATTGCTCCATCGGCATCTTCGACAGGCACGTTTTTGCACTAACAGGACTCTGAACCGCTGCGTTTGTTCAGCCTAAAGCAAACTGTGTGAGATAAGAGGGATTCCCAGAGAAAGCACACACGAGTCTGGAAGCAAAAGGCAACTGGGCCTTCCTCCTCTCTCCTAGTGTCACAAACTCATTTTTACTTATGACGTCTTTTCTCTATAGTCACAGAAGAGGATGTTGAACGCATTTAGAGAGACAAGGCCCAAGACAGCAAATGAGGGGCCCATGCTTCAGCTAACAGAGCAAGAAGGGTCGCTGCAGAAGCCTTCCCTTCTGCCATGCACCGAATTACAATATAAGATTGAGTGTCCAACTGATGACCCATGAGCTGGTTTCTGCATTTTTGGTTGTTAAGTGTGTGGCCCCAACAGTTTTTGTTTTTAATGCAACTGATTGGCAACTTTTAAAAACTAGTAGAGTTCACATGAAAAATCTGGGTTTCTCTTTTTCTGGAAAAATCAGTCTGACAATACGGTCTTCAACTGGTGGAGCTGCTTTCTTTAGGAAAGCACTTTTTCCTCCATGTGACAGCCCATTCCAGATCGTCACCTTACCCCCTGATCTCTGTAGCCAGGCCAACTTATCAACAGCGTGGGAGGCCTAGAGTGGGGGGCCTGCTAAAGTTACAGCAAGGCCCCGTCTGGTAGCATATCAGCTCATGTCTCTCCGGTAAGAGCCAGAGCCACTGGCACATAGGCCTGAGTCTAAAGGTCAACCTCCAACACCAACTGTGTGTGTGTGCAAGCCTGAGCAGGTGACTTTGCTTCTCTGCGCCTCCCATTTCCACTTCTTTGAAATGGAGCTATTACCTACTTTAAAGATTGTTGTATTTAATAATTTTAATGTCCAGAGGGTAAAATTCACATTTGGGGGAAGACAGTTCTGTGAGTTTGAACACCTACACAGATTCATGTAACCAGCACAAAGAGAATGCACAACTCCATCAGCCAAAGAATTCCTTCGCGATATGTCAAACTCTCCCCCATCCCCCGACAATCATTCATCTGTTTCCTACCTCTGTAATTTTGCCTTTTCGAGTTTGGGTTTTTTTTAAGTGAAATACTGTATTAGCTATGTCATCACTATCCCTAGCAGTGCCTCATTTCTGTCTGCTTAGTTACGTGGGCACCAGGCATACTCAAGCCCTATAAAGCATTTGCCCCGTCACTGGGCAAGCACTTGAGAATTATTTGGCATTTCCCTCCACTCCCCGATTTTTCTACCAGGGAAGGAGCTATTCTTGCCATACATGACTGGCAGAGAGGAACCGGGCCATGAGAACACCCCCACATGGCGTTTCTTTTCAGGGTGTGGAGGTGGGAGGAGGGCGTGAAAAAGCAAGCCACTGTGTTGAGAACAATGAGTGTTCCCCAGGGTAGCCAACGGGTCCCTTTTTGTTCAAGTGAAGAATTCCCACCAGCCAACCTGGACAGAAGTCCCTACAGCTACCCACTGGCCATCCCACCACATCTGGCTGCACTACCAGGTGACCCGGGGTGAACAGGGTACTGGCCTCTTGGAGACACAGGGCTTCTCCAGCCCTGCTACCTTTCATCCTGCGACCGGAACACATGGAGCCTCCTCTCCAGGCCTCAGTATCTCCACCTGAAAGTGGCCCTGCAGGACAGGATGAACCCAGAGGGCACTGAACAGCAGAGGCTCTGAATCTCGGTCAAGCATCACTCTGCAGGTGGCGGCCCCTCCCTCTGAAGAACCTGCACATGCCAGGCTCTGGACAACACATTCCCTGAGCCTTCTCCTTGTCCACCTCTCCTTTTAGCCTCCTCTGCCTGGCCTCTCCATGCTCAAAGGTCCCAGGCCTCTTGCCCTTTCTCCATTCTATAGACCAGGGTCTCTCATCCCCAGCACTCACCTACCAGGGCCACATCATCCTCTGTTGAGAGAGGCTGTCCCTGCACTGAGATGGTCAGCAGCATCCGTGGCCTGTCCCCACTAAATGCAAGCAGCACTCCTGCTCCCCGCCCCACCCAACTGTGAGAACTACTATTCTAACCTAATCCTATGTAGAAATCAAGATTCCCAGAATTACACCTCCTGACCTGGCCTCAGGGCACCCTGACAGGTGCCTCCAACTGCCCTCTTAACCTCCCACCTAGGAGCGCAGCAGGTATTCTAAATTTACAGAATCAAAAACTGAACTCCTGGCCCCTCTTTCTCCTGGCACAGCCAAATCTCCCAGCACAGTTACTGGCCCACCCCAACAACTGTTGTGGGTGCCTCATCTCTGTGCTGTTCCCACTAGACTCCAGAAGCAACACCCCCTTCCCAAACTGTGACAACCAAAACTGTCTCCAGACATTTGCAAAGCATTCCCTGGGGTCAGGGAGGAACTGGCCCCCGTTAAGAATGGCCGTTATGGGCTGTTTTCAACACAGCATCCCGAGAGGTCTTCCAAAGCACAAAGTCATTTTCCATCCCCCCCTTAACCACTCCACCCAGGGTACACAGGCCCCTGTGCTCTGTGACCTCATCTGCTAACCTTCTGCTCCTTACCCAGTGGGACACACCTGGGCCTCCATGCCATTCCTGTAACACACCAAGTTCACCCTTATCATCAGGACTAAACATTTTTGTTCCTTCTAGATTGTTCTTCCACTTGATACTGGCACAGCTGGTTTCTCCTGTCATGCAAACCTATGGTTAAGTATCGCCTCCTCAGAGCCCTCCCTAACCACTGCTTCCTGCCCACAGACCACACCCTGCCAATCTCTCTCCTTATCACATTAACACATTTTACCTTCTATGATGGCATCACCAGTCTCATTTATTTACCTTGATCATTATTTCTCCCTCTCTAAAAACAAGCTCTTTAAGAGCAGGGCCCTTGTTCACCACTCTTCACCCATGCCTAAAGCAGCATATAGCATGTAATAGAAGCTCAATAAAAATCAGGGACCACAATGGAATGAACTGATAAAATAACTCAACAGTTGTATCTATAGTATTTCTGGTGCCAAATTTTGCTATAGACTTTGGTCTAAGGTAGTGCTTTTCAAACAGCCAACTGAAACCCAACAGGTCAGAAAAAAGCTACCGAGTCAGGGACAAAGACTGGCATTTTAAGTAAGAATTAGGAGAGAATTAAGGAAACAATACATCGGAATATACTGCACACAGGAAAGGTAAATACTGATTCCTAAAACCAATTTCTATCAATTGTATATCAACGATACTTCAAGGAAAAAAAAAACCTGATACATATCAAGTGTGTATGTATAAAACTTTATAAATAGATGTATATTTACATATACAAGAGGTAGGTTACTACAGTTAAGGGCAAGTAAGATCGTTAACACTGGCCTAAGATACTTCAAGATAAACAGCTTTGCATGTTAACAATTCCCAGAAAAATCCCTTATGTTCCTTATCTTCGGCCCACTGCACGTTGTAAATATTTTGCACAGAGAAAAGAGTTCAGAATTCAAGAACCACACAAAAAGAGAACATCGCAACTTGCAGAAATAGTCACAGGGGCCACAGCAAGAAACTTCAAACATTCCAACTGACCCAGGTTAAGATTGAGGATGCTCCCGGTGGTGGGCGTCTTGTCCGCCTTCGTGGGGGCTGGCGCTGGCGCCTGCGGAGAGAATGGTTTCGGGCTGCCGGATAGACTCCCTGCTTGTCCCATCTTTGTAGAAGTCGGTGAAGCTGAAAAAGTATGTTAACTGTTAAAAGGCAGATGTACAAATAAACAAAGCAAACTTCTATGTGTGGTGCAGGGGAGAGTAGAGAAATACTTGATTTCCACAAGGCCTCCAGAACCCCACAGATGGGACAGGGCGGGAAGAGCTGGCCATTTATTTCAAGCAAAGGGCTTGAACCCAATGTTAAACTGTTAAAAGGGACGAAGAAGGAAGGCCTCCCGATCATTCTGTTCAACACAAAGCTCTAAGACAAATCGGCTAAGCTGCCACTGAAATTGGTTTGGCCCATTCACGGGTGTAAATCTCAAAATAAATAGCGATTCAACTGGCCCCCACAACGGTCCAGATGCGAAGACCAGAGCCAGGCTTACAAATGGCATGTCATCCGTTTGTGGGAGACGCAGGAGCCGGCTCACACAGTTACTGCACCTGCCAGAGGCCAATGTGACCCCTTGGGAGCTCTCCGGCTTCCCGTTTCAAAGGTCTGTAATGCTGAATGGGGTCAAACTCAGCACCAGATGGAGGGAGGGAGTCGTTGGTAAAATATCTCCTTCCTAACTGGGCTTCAAACTTTTACAGGAGGATAGAGAGTAGCCACTATGCCCGAGTCTTTTAAAAATACCTTAAAACTACCTCCTCCCCTAGGCCTCATCCAATGGGGGGGAGGGAACAAGGACGGAGACCAAACCATTAAACGAAGTGTTCAGATGGGCCAACTAGAGCCTCCCAGAGATCCTTCAGATCCTACCACTTTGCCTGAACTACAGCTCAGGATGTGGGGGCAAAAACTTTACTTTTTATTTTTCATCCTTCTATACTGCCTAAATATTGCTGGGTTTTTGTTCTGTTGTCGTTTTAACCATGTGGATATAGTACTTCCACCATTGAAAAAAAAAGGCCCATTTGAGGCATTTAGATCAAGGGCTGTTTTGCCCTTTTCAAAATACTTTCACTGTTGTTTTGTTGTGGGGAGGAAGGGAGAGGTCTTTAAAACAGGTGCGAAAATATATTTGTTAACAGGAAATGTAAATGAAGGGAGAGGAATTCGTTAATTGTATGATTCCAGTCAAGTTTAATGAACATACTCTTAGAAACTTCTCTCACAGTGCATGTGGCCACCTGGAGGAACGCATGAAATTATAGGCTGGCCACCGTGTGTTCAGCACTGGGGCTTAGCAAGTCGGCAAAGATGGATACATAGAGTTTACACTAAAAAAACAAATCAATGTATCCGTTTAAAACATTTGCATTTATATCACTTCATCTAACCAGGTTTCTTCCCCAAGAAATGTTTCCCAGACTGCAGTCATTCACATGCCTCCACCATCTTCATCTTCAGGTACCATTTCTCTACTCCTGAAAATTAGCACTATGTGGACTAGCACAGAAAGCTGTCAAAGAAACAATGCAAAGTTTAAAGGAGAGGAAATCTTATTCCGATCCCATTCTAACACAAAAAAATTAGGATGATGACTATCAATGTGATTACACACATTTAAAAAACCTGAAGGAACATGGGTGTCTCAATTGCTGTCACCTCCTAGGGTTGAATTCTGTGCAAACTTTGTCCACAATATTAAATCGGAAGGAATATTTTCTATTCATTGGAAAAATGACACAAAATGAAATGTAAATACTAAATAACTTCAAACATGAATGTTACACAATCAGAATTTTGTTGTCTGTGCTCAAATTCAAAAGCATGGTACAGCAAATCAGGGGTTCTCAACAGGGACTGGAGGGGTGACTATGCTTCCAGGAGACACGTGACAAAGCATGCAGACACCTTTGGCTGTCATAATTGTGGGCAAGAGTATGCTACCGGCAGCTAGCAAGGTAGAGACCAGGGATGCAGCTAAACGTCCCACAGTTCACAGGACAGCCCCCCACAACGGAGAATCACCAAGCGCAAAATGTCAATAGTGCCGAGATGGAGAAACCCTGTTTTAAATCATGCTAGACATTTTCAAAAGCAGAAAGGCATTTGGAAATGCTCATTTCAATTAAGCTTTGAAATGAATGCCGATCCTTTTATAAAGCCATATATCTTGCCCAAAGGAAGAACTAATTGCCTTTGAAGTCACAAATAATTTAATCAGATTTTATACTTCAATGTACCGCTCACAAGTAGGCTAAAACAGATCATTTATTATCTATATTTACAAAATCCAAGCCTGTGTTAAGTACCATTCTGACGGCAGGAAACATGAGTCCTAGAATTAAATTAGGAAAAATGCCCCTTCCCTCCCACACACCCTAGCACTCTGGGTGGGGTGGGAGTGGAGTTAATGATTCCTATTAAATTTCCTCTAATTATAAAACCTTGGAAACAACCTCTATGTTCAAAGGGCTGTGTCTTTCATAACTCCTGGAGGCATGCATAGATGACTCCTCAGCACAGCAGCAATGCACGGTCTCTGACAAGACAGAAATGCTGCTTTAAAAGGTTATTGACTAACATGGAAAGCATTTGAACACAAGTTAAAAAATAAATACTCTGAACAGTCCACAACAGACATTGCAAACAAGTGATCCACGAACCAAGTAGTTCACAGATGCATCTGATGCAGCATTCGGATATAATTTGAGCCAATACGTAAACACTGGGGCAGTTCACATTTTCAAAAACATTTGAGGCTTCTTTTGAATAATCAGAAGAAATCTGGCACCAGAGCCTACATTTCCTCTCAGCTAGACCCCGCAAAAGGAAAAGGCTCCCCCAGGGCCCTTCAGAAAAAGCGTGCCAGCTCAGCATTTTGACAGGTCCAAGGTATGACCTCCTAGTGGGTTAGAAGCAGCTTTTTTGTAAGAAATACAAGAGTGGAAATGCTATAACGCATCCTGTATTGGAAGAGTGGGCAGTTTTGGGAAGGAAGTGTTACATACTGAAGCACATGAGTATACATAATTGGTCATGAGAAGAATGTGTTTCCGATTTAGCTCACCCTGGTCCCTGCACCACTTCCCAGCCTTGCTCGTTTCCAGACCTGCCTGTTCCCTGGAAGTATCTGAGTTTTCAATTTACTAATGTGACTTATAAACCAACATAGAAAAAGTCCTGGAAACAGTATCTAAGGGCTGACTGTGAGAAACAGGAGGATCTGTGACTTCAGTTTTTATCAACAATTATTTCATGACAAATATATATTTGATTTCACAATACGTAAGGAATATATGAAAACGATTTTACTTCTCCCTATACAATAAGCCACAGTAGAGCGGTAAGACCCAAAGGAGGTCAGAGTGTGGGAAAAGCCAGGACCTAGGACTCTTTCCCTAATACATATTAATGACTTAGATCAGGATCCCACAAGCAAATATTGGCAAAGGCATTGTTTCTGGCCAGGAGCTCTAGATAAAGGGGGAAGCAGAAAAATCACTGAGAACACAATCTACTCCGACCATTAAGATGACAGCAATCCAGGCCACCCCGAGTGAAAGGCTTCTGGCTGAGCAAAGTCATTCTTAGAAAGCTAAATCTAGGTCTAAGGATTAGAGGCGCATGATTCTGAGCTCCTCAATACCCCCCACCCCCAAACAAAAGGAAAGCTTCTAAACTCTCATAGAACTTTTATTTAATGACTTATTATGTTACAGGCTACAAAATTATTGCTGAAACTAATATGGCTTTTCTATCCTACGACAGTCTTTTTTTCACACAATTCTGTATAATCACAGTCTGATCTCAATTATACACTTGCTGTTTGTGGGAAATTTCAGTATTCCACTTTTTCTATTAAATGCTATTATCACTGCTAACAGCAGAGGGCACTAGGGTGCAGTGAAAAGAAAAAGGGTCTAGATTCAGGCTCTGGCGGTGAAAACGTCCATACACGCTCCACAGGGACCTCAACTTGCCTTCTGCAAAATGGGGAGACTTAACTCAGAGTTTCTTCTGACTCTCTTGGTCTATAGAGGCTGGCAAACTGACCCACGGGTCAAATCTAGTACACCACCTGTTTTTATATTGGCCTGAAAGCTCAGAAGGTATTATATTTACCATGTTTTAATGGTTGGGAAAAGAAAAAAAATCAAAGATTCATAGTTCATGAAATATACAATTATAATGAAACTGCCATTTCACTATCACAGGCACATACTGCCTATGGCTGTTTAGTAACGCCAGTGTTAAAAATTGCATAATTGTTAACAGTGAGCCAAAAAGCCTGAGATATTTACTATCTGGCTCTTGAAAGGGGGCAATTTGTAAAATTAAAGTAATATTGAATAGCATCTTCTCTTACTGTACTACTCATTAGCAAGGTAACTCATAATTAGCAAGATGACCCAAGCACATACCGGCAAGGGGATTATGCGTCTTGGGAAAGGGACTTTAAAGTCTACTGAAATGGGGGATCTACTAACTTACTGCTTAATTTTTTTAAAAGCAAATGATGAGGAGTGTTGCTAGGAATTCTAACGTCATTCAAATGTCATTTTGACCTCTGTCTGTCCCAGGGAAGAGAGCTGCTTAATTAAACACATTATACATGTTCTCACATTTCTATAAACTATGTTTCCTGAAATATGGTACCGGAAGGATTGCACCGTATTTGGTGCACAGGCAAACATGTTTTATTTTAAAATTATGTATTAATTTCATGTATATTAGGAAAAAATACAAGTAATTTACAAACACAAATTTATATAGAATTTTATTTAGCTTATGATGAAGCTAAGTTGCAGATTCAATGTTTAAGAATATAATAAAATAGGTGCTTCGAGAACACAGCAAAGATCATGGCGATCAAAGTTCAGTCAACAGTGATTCACAGGATCGCTGCTGGTTAAAACTTTATCTGAAGTGTGTTCTCTATGGGAACTAACAGGCTGTGATTATATGCTAGCTTTGTTAACTTGGCTTAAATGGACTCATACCATGGAATATAAATTCACTTTCAAGGAGTGGTCTGAAACTAAGGGGCAAAAGGGAAGTTCTCCCTGAAACCTGGTCAACACAAGTTACATGTGAACAGAGCTCTAAACTCTTTAACTGTACCTAAGCCCACTGGTTCTGGTAGAACTGGAGATAAACTGCATGCAGCCTTTATTCTGAAGAAATGAAAGCCCCTGGTACTTAACTCTCTCTACACCACCCATCGCCGTATTTGGAAGAGCTAGTAACAAACCAGAAACTAGAAACAGTAAGAGTCAAAATGGGTGGAATTCTTTTGAGTTCAAAATTGACCCAAGACCCCATCATTTTATCTTCTGGCAACGTCTGGGGTCTCCTGAAGAATTGGTACCTGCTCTTTAAAGAGTTCTTTTGTAAAGGAAGCGAAGGAGGAGGGAGAAGGAAGGAGAGGGGATGGAGGAAGGGGTCCATCTGAAAGGCTATTCAAGGTGAACGCTTTGAACAGAAGTCTAAAAGTGATGGTCCAACCTTTAGATGTGTTGTATTCATTCTGGAAAACATTCTAAGACATTCTGAGTTGACATTTAATAACTGGGAGATTTTACATAAAAACGTAGATTTCCCATTTCTCTGAAAGAATATTATGATCTGAAAACCATTGAGTCCACATTCCTGCATGACAACCATGGGCTGCAGCCCGTGGGCTGGGGCCCGTGCCCCGAGGTTTACCAGTCCCTGCCCCTCAACAGTCTCCCCAGCCCAGAGTCTGCCAACTGGCTGCCTCTGACTCATCACAGAAGCTTTATCACCAAGTGGGCGCTTCTCTGTGCCCACGTCTCTCAAAGGCAGAACAACGAAGAGCAAACAGGGACGGGCCATGTTTCAAGAAAAATGAGAGTAAACCCATTTTCCTGTGGAAGTAATAACCTTCTTAAGCATTTCAAATGCAAGCCAATTATGTTTGGGTAGAAAGAATTCAATTTAAGTCAGTATCCCCTTTCTTACACTCAGCGGGCACCCCTCATTTACATCACCTCTCAGAATCCCTGCAGGCATTTCGACTAGCAACCATCCTAAGTAGTACCAGAGAAGCCACCACCTTCACCACAGTATTTCAGACCCTGCCCTACACCCTTTGTGTGTGGAATAAGTCACTTAATCCTTACAAGAACCTCTGAGGCAGGTCCCATTGTGCTGTCCTGGCCCAGGTGAGGAAACTCCAGCACAGGTGAGGTTAAGCATCTTGCTAAAGCCCCAAAACTGGTGAGCAGCAGCATCCTCTCCTCATCCTCAACCACGTCTCTTACGTGCAATACAACTAGCTGTTGAACGAGCGGGACCTCCAAGGAGTGGGACTATTCTGGGGAGCATATTACTGTTTACCTAATATTTGAGCATTAATATGGATGTATGGTTTTAACAGAAAAATGTTTCAATGAAAATAAAATTCTTGGAAGAGAAAAAAAAAACTATTGCACGAAGTTGTGAATAATCTAAGAGGCATTTAAACTGAACTCTGAAAGATTTCTGGCCATCTCTGCCCAGTTCTAGGAATGACCTCCCAGCTGGCCTCTGGGGACCAATTTTCTCATCCTTTGGTCCCTCACACCAAGGATCTGTTGGGTTATTCATTTAAAATGTCAAATTTTCCCTACTGGAGGGAAACCCCCACAGCTCTCTTTGACTCTGTGACACTGGCCGGGTGAGGCCCGGCAGGTATGGCATGATGGAAACCCCGTGGTGTCCCGGGGCCTCCTCCCTCCTCTCCCACACGGGGCTGACCTGTGCTCTTGTCCAGGAAGTCCATGGACTCCTCACTGGCACTGAAGTGGCTCGACGTGGCCTTCTTCTCGGCATCCTGCTCCACGTCGGAGCCCGTGTGCACCGAAGAGTTTGTACTCATGGGGGAGCGCGGCATATCCGACAAGGAGATCCTGCGGCCCGAGCCCCCGCTCAGCATGGGCTTGCTCATCAGAATCTTGGGGGATGCCGTCATGTCGAAGTTGAGCTTGACCTTCTCCTGTTTGTCTACCTTGGCGGCGCCAGCACTGGGGTTGGCGGGATCGAGCAGCATCTGGTACTGGCTATTGGGCGTGTAGGGTGTCCTGAACGGAGAGTAATTAAAAACCCCGAACTTCCGCCGGATGTTCTCCACGTAAACCTCCATCTCTTGCATTGCACTGTTGAAGATGCTCTTCGTCTTTTTCACAGAAAAAGGAATTTCTTTAGACATGAGGTAGCAATTATTTATTGGAACCCAGGCCCTACAAGTGCAAAAGAGGGAGTTTAAGTCAATTTGAGTCTTTTCCAAGATTTTTTCTTTTGTAAGTTTTCTAAAAATTTATTTTATTGGGCTAAGTAAGCTTAACACAAACTCTACCCTTGAAACCTACGTTTCAGTGTGTAATACAGTATTGCTGACCACAGGTACAGGGTTGTACAGCCAATCTCTAGAGCACACCTTGTTTATAATTGAACCTTCGTGCCTATTGATTAGTCACTCCCCATTTTCCCCTCACCCCAGCCAGCACCCCTAGCAATCACCATTCCACTCTTTGATTCAATGAATTTGACTATTTTAGGTAGCTCATACAAGTGGAACCATGCATGCAGTATTTGTCTTTCTGCAACTGGCTTATTTCACTTAGCATAATGTCCTCAAGGTTCAACGATGCTGTCACATACATTTTAAGACTGGATTGTATTTCACTGTATGTACATACCACATATTCTTTATCCATTCATCTGTCAGAGGACATTTGAGATTTCCAGAATTGTCTTTTTCTTAATGCAAACCAAATTAGCACAGTATGTTTGCCAAGATTCTTAAATAGGTATTCCTTTTCTAGTTTTTTTAATGACTTGGTTTGAATGGCTAGTAAATGGCTAGTAACACTCAACAGACACGTTCTGTCCTAAGGACAGGACACAAACAACAAATTTAGCTAAAATAGTAAAAGGCTTAATAGACTTAGTCATTTTTATGCCATTAAAAAATAATAAATCCCTTTTGGCTTTGCGATGATAGAAAGTGAAAGAGCGTCCTCAGCTACCCCTTGGAAAGGATAATTGCTCCACATCTTTCTCTTCTGCACTGAGACATAAAGAACTTGCTTTTCTCTTTCAAAATTAGGATTCTACATGGGAGTAGAAGGAAACAATGGAAAACTATAACCCTAAAAGGAGATACATGATTTTGAATGTGAAGATAATTCATGTGGGAAATAACCCAAGAACAGCAACAGCCCTTTAGCCTTTGGGTATGTGTCCTTCCCATGCCATTCCAGGCCGGTTCTCTTCCGACCTTCAATATCCCACATCTCAGTGCGCTCTGCAGAAATTTCATGAGAACAGAGCTGCTTTTCTGGAATTATCGAGGCAAGTGACTGCAGGCAGGAGACAGGAACACAACTGCCCTACTCCAGGTGGAGGCCGAGGCCGTAGGGGAACAGGAGGAGGTAACTTTGTGGCACCTGATTCCCTAGCCTCGATCCAGATTACAGCTGAAAATCTGGTGGGAATCAAGGAGGCTGCTCGGATTTCAGACCATAAACTGAAGCCAGGTACAAAGCCACACGGAGCCAAGTAGACCGTGGGGAGACAGACACCCCACAGCCAGTCTGACGCAGGCACCACCTACCCGGGGGCTATCGGAAGGGCCCACGTAGGAATTTGACCCAAATCTTCCAACATTTTAAAGAGAAGCAGAAGATATGGACTTCCTGTATCACATCTTACCCAAAAGTTAACAGCATTCTATGTTTAACATTCCTAATTTTTAAGAGAAAGCGGCCCAGGAGAAATAAAGCATGTGCAGGGGGCACAATTCAGGGCACAGGCTGGCTGGCTGCAACTCGTGGTGCTCCTAGCTTATGACACGAACTAAAGCTGAACACCCCCAAAACACCCCACTCAGTGCTCTCTCAGAGTACTGGGACTTACCAGCTTCTCAGCCATTCCAACTCCCGGCTGTCATTCTGCAGACATCTGAGGAACCACACCTGCAGCCAGGTGAGCCAGAGCAGAGCGGGGGCCAAACACCCTCAGGGTGAGAGTCTGCACGTGTTACAACTGGGCGGGCAGGAGTCCAGACCAGACAGGACAGCAAAGAGGAGCAGTCAGGATCCCCAGGCTGTCCTTGGACAAAGGACTCCCCGTCCCTAAGCCAGTGTCAGCTCGTCACTGGTAAAGTGGAGGATGACCCCCTAACCCGGAGGGCTGCCCCAGAAATCAAATGAACGTACCTATGCCAATCCAGGCACCACCAGGAGCTGACCTGTTGGTCACTGTGACTGCATTTCCCCAACACTTCTGCCCACTACCAGGGCCTCGAGTGTTCCCTCCCAGGTTCTCAAGTGCTTTCAATTAAGTTGCTTGGCAAGTAATTTTTGAGAAAGTGTTTCTTTTCCTTGCTTAAAGCAAGCCCAGGAAACATTTAGAGGGAAATTAGGTTTGCTACACAATATAAAATCTCTGGGGGGTAATGTAATGAGAGGTCACATAGTCATTCAGCAGAACTACTTCCTAGCTCTGGTCCTCAGTTTTCTTATCAGTAAAATGGGGATAAAAGCAGCCTTTGCAAAAAGCACTTAAAACAATGCCTGCTGCGTGGTAGGCAATTAATGCCAGCTATTTCTTTTTTTTAACTCTGTGGGCATTTAATAAAATATTTTCTGTATTTTTATGTAATATTGTGTGTGTCTATAAAACAAAGCCAAAAAAAAGCAAAATCTTCTGAAGGACTAAAAGCACATGGTGAGACTCTTCAGAACATGCCTTGATTTGTGCAAGAGCCTCTCCAAGCTCTCTCTGGTTTATAAGCTTGACAATAAACATATGACGATCTGTGATATTTCTCATACACTCTCTGGCCTGTTTTGCTTACAAGTGTCCAGGCTTACGTGTTGGCTCCACGACTGCAAAGTGAGCTTCCCTGAGAAAGGGACAGTGTGTCATACCTCATCAGTCCCCCTTTACTCTCTGTGGCACGTTCCTGGGTCTGGCCCAAGAGAGGCTGCTGGCAAACCAGTCCCACCCTTAAGAACACCCTGGGAGGAAGGGGCTCTCTGGCATCACAGCACAGCCAAGAGTGACTACTTGTCCACAGCTGACTGAAACATTCCAAGAACCCTGCATGGTTCCCACACCACTGTGGAGGCCCTTACCAACTCCCCAATACCCTCCCTCACCCCAAATGAGCCCAACAGCTTGGTGGGGGTTAGGAAAACCTCACGGGCCTCAGACACGTGCTGCTGTCTTCCACAAACAATGGGGCCCAGCTTTCACGAGAGCCAACCTACATCAGCAAGTTGGGGGCAAACAGCCTCCGGAAACAGGGCTCACAAAGTTCATGCCCCTCAGCCACCTTCTGTGACTGTCTGACAGCAGCTAAGAGGCTGTGCAGGGTGGGCCCCGCTGAGAAAACAACATCAGAGACTGTTTTAGAGTCTGGGAAAGTTCGGTGCATGGGCGCAAGCAGTTTCTCCCCCACCCACGTGTATCCTAAGGACAGCCACACTGTGTCACAATACAGAATAAGAATCCCAAATCATCACGACGGCCAACACCTGCCAGGCTCTAATGAAGGGGTAGAAAGATGTACAACCTGCCACTAATTCCTCTACTTTTCAAATAAAAGCTGAACTTCTGACCACAGCCAGTGTGAGCCGGGCCCAGCCACCCCCTTGAACCCATCTCTTACCACCTTCACCCTGTTATTTCCTTCATCTTGTTCAAAGCACATTGTGCTCTTGGCTTCTCCTGAACATACGAGGCCTGCTCTCTCTACACTCTCTGGTTCCTCTGCCAGGATCTTTACTTGGCCCCTGCCATTACCTCCTGGTCTGAGATTGCCCCGCCTGTTTGTTTATTTGTGTATTATCTGTCTTCCCCACCAGGATGTCGGCCTTCAGACGGGGATAGACAGTGTCTGCCTCCTCACTCTTGTATCCCCAGCAATCCAGGACTCAGTCTGGCCCACGGCAAGCACCAGACACATTTCTTTGAATGAATGAATAAATGGATTTCTGAGAGATTTCCAGCAAAACACAACAGAACCAAACAAACCATACTTCCTATCAAACCCAGGCTCATCTCAGCTAATTTCCATTTTACCTCCTGACAATGGACTACTGGGATTACTAGTATATGATTTTACAGATTACTTTAGAATTCACTTTTTTTTTTTGCAAGATGACAAGCAAAACTTAACAGAGAGAACACTAGCTCAGATTCTGGTGTTTAAAATTATAAACTATTTCCTGTATATCCTGTGGGTGATGTCTAATTTTTAAAATTTGTATTTTAAATATTCTCCCCCCTACACACTCACACTTTTTCAAACTGCTTGGTAGGGCTTCAAAAGGATTTTTGCCTCGTTTAATCATAACAAATTGCTAAAAGATATCAACCACCGCTCATCTTCATCTACCTGTTGTTCTCAAGCACACGGGGCTGTACTCTAAAGGCGACCGCTAATAGCTGGAATAATTCACTTCCATGTGGGCGAGGGAAAGGGGAGGGCCGAGAGGCTGGGAGGGAGGGCTCACACCTGTCAGAACACCACCCCCTTATAATTTCCCATGTTAGCTTCAGAAAAAAAGGGAACTACCCAGCATAATGACAGGAGATTCATTTACTGGTGATCTAGGGATATACTTCTGATCCTTGAAAGCATTCTTCTGAAAAGCCATTTATTTGCACAGCAGTTTAATTTACTCCAGAAAAGTCAAAGAAAGAACAGCAGCCCTTAAAATAAACATGGAGCCTATTTCAGTGCTGGTTTCATCAACAAAACCATGAAAGCAAGAGTCTTTTCTAACCTACCTGTAAAAACCGAAGACCACATACGAAGGCTTAACACAGCACAGAACAATACTCTTGAACTGCAAAGTCACTGGTTGGCATCACAACCACAAACAAAATGACAGCCATACCTCCGCCCCTTCTTGTAATTAATCAATGACAGCATCGAAGATTCAGTTAAAGCTTTAACGCCCACCTGTCATGTTGTCCAAAGAAACGGGCATCAACCTGCCCATCTTTATCCCTCAGGGCTTTTGCAGGCCAGAATGGAAACCCCTTCAGTTTTGCCCAGACCAAAGGATGTGGATTGCTCTAGGAAAAGAAAAACAAAATCCAAGAGTTTGTACCTATCGGACAGCGAGATATGCACATAAAGCGTAGCAGGAAGATAAAGCAATGCAGAGGTGATACAGGCCGCAACGGTTAAATGGTTAAAAGAACAGGTTCAAGCAGTCTCCCCAAGTGGTGTTCCCTAGAAGGGGTGGCATGACCGGTAAGTCTGGGTGAAGGTGGAATGCGGTTAAGTAGTAAAGCTTAAAAGAATGAGTGCTGACGAAACTCGGTTGGAATCCTGGCTATGCCCCTATCGCTGTGATCAAGAGCTCCCGCCTTTCTGTGCAACACAGGGACGGTGATCCTTACACCCTCGGTCAAGCTGGAAGATTAAATGTGCATTGCATCTACCATGTAATAGGAGGCAGTATTAACCACCCTTACTCTTTCCTGAAGGCTACGCAGAGCCTTATCTATTCAGGTATTAATCTCCAAAGGCAGACAGAGGTAAAACTACATTTTGGTTCTCAACTTGACTTACCCATTCTTGCCTCCAAGTACTTGACCACCCCTCAGCCCACCCCAAAAATGTACTTCTCCCTGCAGAACACAACTGAGAAAAAAGGCATATTCATGGGAAAATCAAGGGGGATTTTTCTCCTCCAATCTCCACCATGTGGAGAGCCCATGATGTTAGTATTTCCAAACTTCATTTCCAAACCTCTTAAATACATTTGTAAGTAATACACTCATTTAACAGTCACCCCATTAGCTGCAATACTTTTGGTGTGGCCCCTCCTTCTCTAATGGGCTCCTTGAATTCTGCATCCTACAGTCTGCCCAGGACAATAAATCCACCAACTCATGACAGTACCTCTCTCTGGTGAATTTCCAGTCAAAGAGGTTTATCCGACCTGGATTACTTTCACTCTGCAGTGATTTCATCACTAAAGACTTATTTTACAACTTCATCCAAAGTTTTGTTGAGTGAGCCACCTGGACACAGCTGTCTTAGGTGGTCACCGAAGGCACACTGAGTTCAGAAAACAAAGTAAGGAAAGGAAACCCAACTTACACAAGGCTCACAAAACCAGTTATCTCGTTTTTGGCAAGCAGCTAGATAACATTCTGGACATACTTCGATTTCATTCATCTGAAAAGCAAAAATATATTAGATTGTGTCACCCCAGGGGCCCTACATCTAGAGGCCTCAAGCACTTCATTATGATACTGGCAGACAATGCTCAGCTGAGTCCTACAGTGGGGAGCACCTCAGAGGTGGATTCAACCAAGGCTCCCCAACCCAGAGCTTCCACCTATTCCGAGCCCCATCCTCTATCTGAACCATGTCTCCCAGCTTCTATGGTTTACTCTCCACACAGACATCTATAACCTTAAATCTCATCTTGTCCCTCCTTCCACCTGTGGTCCCCTATCCGGACAGTTTAACCCCTCCGGGAACACTTGGCAATGTCTGGAGACACTATTGGTCATCACAAGAGGGAGCAGGGAGGCGTGACAGATGCCACTGGAATCTCGGAATGCAGGACAGTCCCTCAACAAAGAACTATCCAGCTTCAAATGGCAGTAGTGCCAAGGGTGAGAAACTAACAATGAAGTCTAACCCCCTAATAGGTTCCTTCAAGGCCAGGTGTGACCTGGCCACAAGCTCCCCCAATCCCTGCCAGCCACTCTGGCCTCCACTTGCTATGCTCAGTTTCTATGCATCTCTAACCACACCATCCAGAGCAGTCAGTCAATGTCACATTGCCCTATTTTATTTCCACGGACAACAATCCGAAAATTCTGTAACTCGCTGTCCTTCTCCCCCTTAAGAAAGCGTATTCATTCCCCTACAGTGACATCACGCCACAGAACCAAGGGCCCCAGGAGCTCCCTTCCTGGATCTCAACTCAGACTCCATTCATTTACTGGCTCTGTAACGCTAGGAGAAATTGCTTATCTTATCTGAGCCTCCGTTCCTCATCTACAGAATGGGGAGGAGAGCAGTACCTACCAAATAGGACTATTATAAAAGTCACATGAGATAAATGTAAGTATTTCAATCAGAACATGAGCTCACATTTATCAGAGATTCAGAGTATGCCGGTATCACTGTGAAGTGCTCTGTAGATAGTAATTCAATTATTCCTCACAGCCCCTCTGAAGTAGCACTGTTGTTATTCCCACATTAACAGAGGGTGGAAATGAGGCTCCAAGATGTCAAGTAACCTGCCCAAGGAAAGGTCTCACTGCAGCGAAGTGGCAGGCCCAGGACTGGACACACACACACTTCTAAAGCCCACATTTCACCACTAGCGTTTGTTGCTATTATCTTCCCGTTAACATGATACAGTCCGCTTTATATCCTCTATCATGCACGACTCCAGATAAGCAGCAGGTGCTCAATTAATACTAATTTTATAATTGTAACTTATAATTATTATCATTGACTAGCTTAACAGGTCAATGGATAAATTAATGAATGAATGGATGGTGGAATATACATCCCCCTTCTACCCACCCTACTTCTGGGCTATTATTCCAGACACAAGGGCAGAACAAAGTGGTAACATCAGGTCTAGGGCAGCCCTGGCAGCAGTGTTACCAACAGGTATATTCAGATGTCCCAGAATATCTGGCTTCAATAAATTTCACCTCAGGCAACCCCCCAATTAAAAGCCTAGTGTTTTGCCCCCAAATTCAGGAAAACAAATGTATCTCCAAGGGGGAACTATCTGGACAGCTCACCCATACAATAAACTCCAATTGCTAATGAACGTATCAAAAACAGTCCATCACCACTTGTCATCACAGAAACACAAACCAAAATCACAGTGAGGTGCCACTGTTTTTACCGATCGCACTGGGGGATCTGAGTCTGTGCCTCAACCCATGTCCCAGTCACCAGTCACCACAGCTGGCCTGGTGGGAGATTCTGCATGGAACCTTCCACCGCACCAGCCCTCAGTGTGGGCACATTCACAACAGGACAGTGGGGGACACATACCTCATGCTCACAGATTTTGATGACTACTTTCGCTATTTGTGTCAATTTGTGATTTCCTAAGGGAATAAGAAAATAGGATTAGTTCAAATGGAAATGTTTAACACCTGGCTTTAGGATTAGTCTTTTACTAGTAACCTTCTAACTTGCCTTCCCCTAGGATTAAGCTTTTAAAGGCTAAAAACCCAAAGGTTTTCTGGTTTCTCATAACCGTTCGAATTATGTGATTTCTCCCATGAACATTGACAATGATATCATTGTCTCCGAGCCTGAGCAATCTGTATGAGTTTCTTACAGCTCATAGATTAATATTTGTGTGAGTTTCTTACAGCTCATAGATTAATATTTGAAAGATGCTTGTATATTCAAAAGGCTTAAATTAGTTGGAAGGAGCCTTATTCTGCCCATTGTTCCAAACACCAACTCATGAAGGGCGCAGGGCAAAGAAGCCAGGTAACTGAGTACCTTTAGTGCACCTGGTGCTTTGAAATATATCTTCTCACTAACACCTCAAGAAGCCATGTTAGGAAGCACGTATGAATGTTCCCTTTTCGTTAACAGGTAAGCTAAGGCTCAGGAGTCAGTCAGTGCTCATATGAAACCACTCAGCCAATGAATTGAGGATCTGGCCCCAGATCTTGCTCTAAATTCCTCACCTTTGCAATAAACCAGAAGACAAGATGGTCAAAAATCCAGTTTCTTTGAACATTATACTGTTTTCAGAAATCGTCAATGTGCTGGCAAAAAGATCTCACATACACACACACACAATACCTAAATTTGTGCCTTGGCTTGAAAACTCAGAAGATCTTCTAACACTGTACCCAGAAAACCTGTAGAGTGTCCAGGGGTGACCCCTCCAGACCAGGTAGGAGCTCCCATTCTTGTCCCTAATTCTCTCCATGGCCAACAGCCATCCTGGCTCATGCTGCTTTTTTCTGCCCCCTAACATCAGTCACTTGTTTATATGATCTTATTGGCCTTTCTATATATTTCAGTTTATAATCTTCCCACAAATTTTCAATACCTAATGCCTCTCTTCGGCCCCTCCTTGTGCTTCTGGTTCTGCTACGGAGTTAATGAATGCAAACCATGTGCTTTAAACAGACATCCATCCATTTATACACCTTCCCTTAAACATTAGCCAACAGACTATGCTAGGTCCAGGGATTCACAGGAGTAAGATGTAGCATCTGTTCTTAAAGAGCTTACAGCCCGGTAAGGAACTCAAATAAATAAAGACAGCACCATCCAGAAAGTGTGATAAATGCTACCAGGGGGAAGCACAGGTACTGGGAGAGCCCCTAACAAGAGCACCTTGTATGGTCTGGGTAATGAGGAAGGCTCCCCAGAGGACAGAGTGGCTGGCACTGAAAGACAAGGAGATGGCATCCAAGCAAAGAGGAGACGAATATTCCAGCAGGAGAAGAGGAATAGGACAGGACAGGACAGGACAGGACAGGACAGGACAGGACAGGACAGGACAGGACACTGAAAGATCTACCTGGCCAGAAGGCAGACAGAGGATTGTGAGAAAGGTAGGGCAATGAGAAAGGTTCCATATTTAATGGAAATTCTCCTCCATTCTGTCCAGAAGGTTCAATCCTTGAAAACACAGCTGACAACTCTCTATCCAGAAAATCAAAAACTCCTAAAACTCGGTAATTAAAAAACAAACAACCCAGTTTTTGAAATGAGCAAAAGATGTTATTATTTTACCAAAAAGAATATACAAATGACTAATAAGCACATGAAGACACCCAATACTGTAAGTTATTAAATAAAGGCAAATTAAAACCACCATGACATAGTATTACATACTTTCAAGAACAGCTAAAATTGAAAAGGCAGATTAACACCCAGTGTTAGTCAAGGAGGTAGAGCAACTAAGACTGTCTCATACCCTCTACTAGAAGGAATGCAAAATATACAACCACTCTGCACAAGTTTGACAAAATACAATTATAAACCTACTCGACAATCCACCGATAACCACTCCTAGGTATTTACCCAGGAGAAATGAAAACATGTGTTCACAGTGGCTTTACTCCTAACAGCCAAAAGCTGTAAACAACCCAAATACCCATCAACATCAACAAAGGGCATAGATAAATTGTACATTGCTACAATGAAAAACACTCAACAATAAAAAGAAAGGAACCACTGATACACACAACATGGATGAATCCCAAAAATGCTACACCTTGTGAAAGTAGCCAGACACACAAGAGTACGATCTGACTCCATTTATATGAAATTCTAGAATACATTAAACTGATCAATAGTGATAGAAAGGTGACAGTAGTTCCTTTAAAAGGATGAATTTACTGAGAAGGGGCAAGTGAGAATTTGATAGGGTGATATAATGTTCTAGATCTTATTTGGGTTTATAGTTACACAGATGCTTACACTTTTGTCAAATTCATGGAATGTACGTGTAAAATGCAAGCTATTGTACATAATTATTCCTCCATTAAAATAGGGCTTCTAAAAAAGACAGGTAAGCAGCATCATATACCCATGAGCCACTTTAGATGTCAGCTCATATCTTAAAATGTACATAGTCACTACTCTCGTTCACACATATTAGCAATCATATACAAGGATTATCCGTCAGCTACTGGACCTGATGCATGAAAAGAGAGCTTGATTTTTTATGAAAGGTGGAGAATGCACAACACACATAGCATACTCTCTTTTAGAGGAGTCGTCTAAGCCACTCACCCCCATTATAAATGATGCAGTTGTGCAAAATCCATTTTGCATCAGCCAAGAAGGCTTCTGTGCAGCCATACATTTTCTTTTTAGCATTCTGGGGAGGAAAGCCACAGAGCATAATCACTAGTGAGTCTATATGAGCCACAGCCAGTAACACCTGCGTCCCCACATAATTTTCTTAGCAGTCATTTGCCAAATTAATTAATGCTTTTACTCATTTCCCAAGATGCTATTATATTTGAGATCTATAACTCTATAAAAATGCATTCACTGAATTCATCACACTAACCTGAATTTTCTCACCTTATAGCAGCTGTCATTAATCAAACAGCCCCTTCCAATGAACCAGGATATTTTATATATTTATGCATTTATTATTAGCTGTAAGTCTCACATAAGCCTTATGATTGAAAACTCAATAATAATATTTATATGACTATAAATATTATCATCATTTTACAGACAGGGAAACCAAGGTATGGTAATGTTAAGGAACTTATCTGAAGTTTCAATGCTATTAAGTTATGAAGCTAGGATTCCAACCCTATCTTTTTTGAATGCCTTCTTTTTTTAATACCCTGAGTGTGTGTACAATTTTCCAAAGCAGGTTTGATATATTGTTTGAGAGTCACCAGTGCAGACAGTATGAAGTAGTGTTTTCCCCTTATCCATTCTTTTCTTTACCCATATTTTGATGCCAACAATTTAAAACTCAGCACTAGTCTGACATGCACAATCTCAAGTGTTACAAGTATAATTTTCAGCAAGGATATTTAGCCTAAAACTTTTAAAAACACCCTCAGGCATTAAAGAAATAGCTTTATTACTAGAATAAGTCAAGTTCTAAGAAGCTACACATTTACTGCTAATCTGGAGGCTTCCCACACTTAATTTTCTCTTCCTGCTGCTCTCATTAGCACCTCCAAAAAGAAAGTGAAAAGGACGTGAGGCTCAAATCAATCAAATCACTAATTCTTAGAAGCTATGATTATTGTGGACACCAGCAGAATTAATATCTAATTTGTGGATTTTAAGACTCCACTGCAGTCCTTGGAAGAATGTTACAGAAGTTAATGGATCAAGAGCCTTTCATCCAAATAAAAATGGTTGGAAGACAGAGAAACCATTTAACTTGAGCTGGGGCACAGGAAGTGAGGGAGGGAGGGCTTCAGTCATCTTGACAAATGCAGGCCACAACAGCGAGGTTATCTCACTTAAGCCAACCTTTTCCAATGTACAAAGGTCCATAGGATGGAAGATGTATTCCGCGTAGTCAGGATGCTGTTCCAATGGAACAGGCTTCTGGAATGCATCTGTCTATAAAAGAAAGAAAAGATGCACATACACAGGCCAAACCCATCACTACTATGGAGGACACAGCATTAATACCAACAAAGTACTTTAAAGATGGAGAGAACTCATCATCAGACAATAGTTCTAAAGGTTCCCACAAAGAATGACCTTAGTGAGCTCCAAATTTGGGTTCACCTGCTAATTCTGCCTGGTTATCAATAATCGTGGGGAGTGTTCTGGTTTTTGTTTGTTTTATTTTCAATACATACAGGTCCTGCCCTCTTCCATTAAGACTGACAAGAACAACACATGATGGGTTACCTTAGACCATATCTCTGAATAAGGCTTATCTATTGACAGCAAATGCCCAGAGTCAAAACTGACAGAGGCTTAAAGTTAGCTACACCTAGAGAACACACATGAAGTCTACTTCCCCTAAATGCCAACAGATACTGTGTACATAGGGGGAAAATTTAGAGAGTGAGATTTTGCTCCTCTGAGAAGCCAAATTACCCTCAACACAGGTACTGCATAAAAGCTTTCGTCCTGATCCATTTTCTTAAGCTCTACTTAAAGCTGCTCAAAATGCCAGGCCCAAGTTTGCTGATGGACAGTGTTACCAAAAAAAAAATCTCAAATATTTCATTAAACGAAGTATACCCAAACAGAGCATCTACAAAGGTTACTGTATGCAGTCATGGGTAACGTTTTATCCACAATGAAAATGCAGCAATTTGAAGTTAAAAAGATACTTCAACAAAAATCAGCAACTTTCTGCCTTGATTTTCTATCATACAATTTATGTGACAAATGAACACCGTCTCCAATTTTTCTTTTTGGGTTATAATTCTACAGTGTTGGCCAGTCCACATAAATCTATTCTTTCTATAAATAGTCCTCAGCAGATACAATTTAGCCTATGAAAAGCAGGAAGTTAATTCCTTGTCACTCAACATAAAAATGGCTCTACAGTTTAAAACAAAGTTTGTGTTTTACCAAACTGAGGCTGTCTTATAGACTTTTGCTTCCATCAATGGAGATTTTGTTAAAGAGACAAGTAGCTTTCTGATTTAGCAACACCCAAGTGGCATGCTCATGCCCTGAATTTTCATGGTCTCATATTTCAGACTATAATTTCAAAACTAGAGCTTGTTTTTTTTTTCCAAGAAATTAAACCACACTAGCTACTAAATGCCCTGAGAGTCTGCATTTCTATGTATTTATTTGACTTAGAAAAGTAAACTCTGCAGTTTCACAAAGTATCACCACTGGTTCATATGGATGCCTCTGTGCAAATCCAAAAAGGAGAACTGCATCCTCAAATTTCCTTAAATTGATCTGTAGAAAAATGGCATACCAAGTTGATTATGTTGGCATAACACATTATTTTTTAAAACAAGATATCTTACTGCCATCCACCTGAATGCTGTCACAAAAAAACTAAAAGCACCATGGCTCTGATAAGGCTGAGACTTTGGGGAGGGAAACACTGTTTAGTAGAGTTGAATGTGGTGGGCCTGCTTTTATGTGCAGATTTTCCTTAAGGGGCACAGGTTAAATCCCATTTCAAAATGGGAAGCAACTAACCAAATTCTCATCTTCTATGGGACTCTCATTGGTTGAGTTTTACTTACGGTTCCGTCATCAGACCTTGATCATAAATAAACTGGGTTGTACTCAGCTCTCCCTATGAAATGGATTTTACTAACTCCCATGGAAGGGAAGCACAAAACTCCCTCTTACCCAATGGGCTATGAGATTTCACTTTACAGCCAACTAGAATCTTAATTCCCTCCTTAACTTTCTACTCTGTATCATTTCCCAGTTAATCTCCCTGGGGACACAAAATGCTCACTATCGAGAATTGACTGAATATCATCATACCACATGTTTAACTTACAGATATTTGAATTCAGGCACATAAGCAGGCCCAAAGGCCACAGGTGTCCACCAAGCTAAGGCCACACAGAACAAGAATGTTAACCGAACAAACCCAAGCTCACTGTTTCCATGTACGCACACACCAAGAGGAACTTGCTTCTTACCCCTGGCTGCTTCATTTTCTGAATGGCAAACTTGAGCAGGTAGGATAACTGTTCGATGGTGAGCATTGTCATGGCTTTACTCTGGGTCTCGATGCATTCTGCTACTGTAATCTTCTACAAGTCAAAATTACACAAACGCCCAGTTAGAAAAAAAAATTACTATCTGTGTACTTATTCTTATTTCCCTTTCCTCCTGGTTTTCCAGTAAGCTCACATATAAAAAATGATTTCCATCCAAAGGACACTAGTTATTTCACTTGACAAGGACTCCAATCTACTTGACCGTAGATTGTATTGGCCTCAACCATTCTGTGGGTTCAGCAGATAAAAATTAGGACACATACCAATCCACTTGATCACCTTATTAGGAAGTGGTTTTAGCTCATGAAGATAATGACATCTCAGAAATGTACAGGTAGGCAGGCCCCTGAAAAATTGTTGTTTTTACCATATTGTTGTTTTTACCACGTGGGGCTTCAAGAGTGGAATATGAAAGGAAAGGCACTTGTGGTTTCAAGGTGGTCTCTTCACACAATTCATCAGCCACCTCACTCAATTCTCCTAAGATTCTGGGCTATCGTTCAGGAAACTGACCAGGCATTAACTCAATGATATCAGTGATGGAAAGGGACAGTCTTAGTCTTAGTCTTCCCTGCAGAAAGAATCCTAGGGATGGCAGTGAACTAATAACAAGTATGACTTCACTCTCCATCACCCCTGATGTGAACCGACGCAGGACACTGTGGCAAACTGCACCAGAAGCACAGGCTGGCTGGCTGTCTCCATGCACAATCAGTATCATTTTGTAAGGGAAATTCCCATCAAAGACAAATGTCTGAAACCGGATTCTGCTATGCAAATCTGGTACTGCATCTCAGAGTTTCAGAATCCTTATGCAGCAGCTACAAAAATAGCAAGTTCTGATGATGTCAGGAAATACTCTTTAACCATCTGTGTAGGGAGAGCTGAGAAAAGTTTTCTCCAGTTAATCTGGATTTCATTTCCATTCTTCGTATCTCTAGGGCCTCCAAAACAAACTTTCCGATGTGCCTGGTTGGTTGTCAAGGAAAAGGGCAACACAGGAGCCATGCAGAAGCTGAGGAACAGCACGTGACACATGTATCAAATTGCTCAATGACTACAGCCTGAAACAGCTAGCCCTCCCAATTGACTGTCTTACCAATTCACCCCTGGAAGAAATTCGGGGCTCTGATTCTTAGACATTGAACACCTGTTTGTTTGAATTCTGCGTCACGTGCAGGTTTAGATCCATGGCGAACGCTTGGGTTGTTTGCTCAACGATCAGTCATTTCCTCTTTCCCCATCCTCAACCCTTTCCTCCTCGCTGCCAGCACTGGTTTCCACAATATGAATGAAGAGTGCCAAGACAAGCATTTTCAAGCCTTTTTGTATGGAGACTGGTGATCCTATTCTAGCCAATGAGGCCAAGAGGCAAGGTTGCAGGAAGCTTGGTAAACAGCCTTCTGCTTGATAAAAAGGGATGTGAGGAGAGCCACTCCCCCACTGAGGGGAATTTTTGTCTAGCCACAAAAATCTTATGGCCTTGGGGACACATCACCTCAACAAGGAAATGGGCATCAGTCCGGCTCTGAACAAAGTCTGGCCTGGCCTGGCCCAAGTCTCTGGGTTCTTTCTATGCATGATAATAAATTCCTATTGTTTCAGCCACCTTTCATCAAGATCTATTATGTATAACAAGAGCATCCTATCAGAGCTCTTTTGCAAATCAATTACACAATTGGGCAGGACTGCTCAAGGCAAAAGGAAACAGATGAAGGTTACAGTACTGACCGTAACTACAAACAGAACCAGGTGGGGCTCTGAACAAGAGGGCACGTGGAGCAAAGCCCATCCTACAGTCTCTCCATCTTGAGTAACCCCAAGAGAACTGGCGACCATATTTTGCAATTTTAGGGGCAGAGCACCTTTAAGATGTCATCCCCATTTCGATTTGATGTCTAATTTCTTTTCATATGTTTCTTATTTTCCTCCTTTCCCTACACAAAAAAGCAAGCGTCCTATAGCTTGCTTTTTCCCACTAGAGCTGTCCATTTCATACACAGAAAGCTTCCTCATTTGAGATCTAATTCCAAGAAACCTCTGAATCCATGTGATATTCTCTATTAAACAATTTTCAGTGTTTTGAAAAAAAGCACCACAGTTGGAACTTGCCAAGAAGAGAAGACACCGCAGGATAGTAGAAACTAATGTGTTGCAATGAAGAAGGTTTAAGCTTTGCTCTCAATGAACTACACATGTTCCCTTCACGATGCCAGCATGCTTCTGCCTCCTCCATACCTGCAGCCCCCCTCTGCCTGGTAAGTCTTCCCCGTGGCTGCCTGGCTCCCTCCTCCCCTTAAAGTCTTTCTCAGCTCTCCTCGGAAACCTTCCCAGTTCTTCATTTAAAATGGAAATACCCTGCGCCTGCCATCACTTCCTATTTCTTGTCTTCAATTCCTTTTCTCTAGAACACTATCTTTCAGTATATTGTAAGTAACTCCATTTTTTCCTGGGGGAAAAAAGAGAAAAGAACATGACTCATGCTTCTTTTTTCGTTCACACCAAATCCCTAGCCATCGAATCAGCGCTGGAGAAGTAGTTGTTGCATGAGAGAAGCATCAGATGGCAACCACATGGAATATATGACCAAAATTGCTCTTTCCAGCTTGGCCATTCCCGATGATTTGGTGATGGAACAGAAGACAACGTCCAGGAAGGGGGAAAACAGCATGCGATCTTTTCAAAATATGCGAACTATTTAAGGTCTGTAAGTTAACTTCTGAAACGTTCATTACAGGAGAAGCAGAGAAGCCTGCAGATCTCAAAGTGATCCAAACACCCAGGAAGAATCGAAACCCAGATTAAATGCAACGGTCTTTCTAAGAGCTGCAGTGCTGAGGCCACAGCCAATGCTGGTCCAAAAGAGGGGTGACCAGGATAGAGTAGGGGCAAGGCAGGAGATTTCTTTTTTCCCTGGATTATTTGAAAAATTAAAAATAAAAGGAAGAAAGAGAAAGGAGAGGAAGAAATGAGGCAGATAATGTGCATTCATTCATCAGGAACTAACCTCACATTCAGGACAAAACCAGTCCCCCTCTGGTTCCGATGTCAGTCTCAGACACTTAGCGTGATAAACCCGGGGACAGAGCTCACAGCAAAGGACTTGGCCTTCCCGGTGACAAACCCAGCAGTAGAAATCATTTCGTCCGTCCTGCGGTACAACATCAACAGGGTCTGTGGTGAGTGGCTGCTTCATATAGTAAAACGGACCATGTCTTAGTTCTGACTGAAATGTAGGCAAGAAAGACAGGTTTGGTTTCAAAACAAATGTGCATTCTCAAAAGGAATTTGAACAAATACATCAATAACAGCAAAAGAAAATTACAGCATTTCACACATTCATTACAAAGCCATCTGGGGTTATGCTACTAAATACAGAGTTTGCAGGTCTTTAGATACTAAGATTCTTTTCTTCTATTTTAAGAGGGCACGGATTAAAAAGCTGGTGTCTAAGAATTAATATGCAGCCCCAGCAGAGCAGCCTAATGGCTATAACCCAGGGAACACCAGGTTCGAATTTTTGCTCTACTGTCTGTATGACCCTGGGCGAGTCAATTAACCTCTCAGCTTCAGTTTTCTCATCTGTAAAATGGGAGTGAAAATATTTAACCTCATGACATAGTGGTTGGGATTAAATGGGATGATACAACATATGCATTTAACACAGTACTGCCATGACTGATATTGCTAATACGGTTAAGAGCCCAACATAGGAAAATCTAAATGTATTAAGTCAACAAAAGTATGGCACTTTGCCCTGGGATTCCTTCAACAACAGATTTTTGGAAAACAGATCAACTGGGTTTGAGCCACCAAAAAATGATCATCTGTTTTTTAAGTCTATCCCTGATGCATCATGTGCCTTAAATAAAAGGCTTCCTAAAGCCATGATTCTTGAACACACTAGGTCCTCATGTTCGCAGGAGCCACATTTCCTATTTAGTACCAACAATGGCAGAAAGAAAAGAAGAGTGGCCAATTCAAGGGAAACAGACCCCTTCTCATCCCAAAATTCAAGAGAAATGCTTCTCTCGTGACATATGATAGAATCCAAGGAAGCCACACTCCGAACACATAAAATCACTCAGAAGAAAGTCATTAGGACAATGTCTAAGTAACCAGTAAGAAATCCTGTTTAGAAGTACCATGAAAAAGGCTGCTAAATGTCAAAATGGCCTAGTAACCAGCTGTGTGACCTTGAAAAAGTCACTCAACCCACTCTGAGCCCCACTTCCATGGATGAAGACTTAGCTATAACCTGCACATACCACTGAATAAACCTCCTTGTATAATCAGCATATTTTTTCCTTTCCGTCAGCAAACAATACAGTTCCCTCCATAAAAATCTCATGTTGTTGGTCAGAGACCGCCTAACTTTTGTTGATACTGGGAATGGGATCATTTTGTTCTATTTTCTAGTTATTGTTGGTACATAGAAATGCTGTTAGAGTTTTAATACTGACCTCCTATATTAACAGTTCTAAGAGTTTACTGATTAGAAATATCATCTCTAAGGAACATCGGTTTTTGTATGTTCACGTCTAATATTGTTACACTACTCTTCTTTTCCCTTATTTTAATGGTTAGGACCCCCAGTATAATGGGAAAGAGTGGCCAAGATGGCATGTCTTGTTCCTGGTTTGAATTATGAGGTTTTGATGCTCTCAAAACACCTGCTATTTCCACACTCCTTGACAGAGAGCCTTACGAGTGTTTATTGAGCAGATGTTTGTTAACCAGTCCTTAAAACCTCCCTATTCTCATTTTCTACTATGAAAACAACTAAGACTTTTAAGGGTGATTGCATAATTCCTGAGCCCAGTTATTTTCCTGCTTCGGATCAGTGTTTAAGATAGAGGGCTCTGTGCTGGGTTTCCAGAAAATAACATCTTTGTTTAAGATAGTCTTTCCAATACTGTCAACGCACACACCATATTCATTTTATCCTCACAATCACCCAGAGACACTAACCTCACTTGACAGATGAGAAACTAGGCTTAAAAGACTTTTCTGACCCCTGAGCCAAGAGCAGAGACTCAAATACGGGTCTCCCGGCACTTTCTCTTGTCCTATCTATGCCCCGTGTGAGACGTTGACAGATGCAGAGATCCTGATGATTAAGTGACCCCCTCAGAGAACATTCTCTGTAGTTCAAATTAACTTCTGCTTAATGCAAAAAGCTGGAGAGGAAAAAAAAAAAAAAATAGGAAAAAAAAAAGAAAAAAAAAAAAAAGGGAAAAAAAAAAAAAAAAAAAAAAAAAAAAAGGATAAAAAACATAGAAACAACAACAATTAAGGACAAAAAAATAATTAATAAAGGGAAAAAAAATAAAAAAAAAAAGAAAAAAAAAAAAAACCATAGAAAAGAAAACCCCCCACCCCACCCCCACAAACTGTGACAACCAAAAATAGGTCTCTGGATATTGCCAAACGTCCCTTGGGGGGCAAACGTGCCCTCAGTAAGAAGCACTAATGTAGAGGGTCTGCTGTCTGCCTAGGGAGATGGTTGGTGTTTGTTGGGGGTGGATTTTAAGGGGGGCTTGGAGGAAAGGGGAGGAGATGGAGGAGAAACTCCTACTGAAAGATAAACGGTACATATCAAGCAAGCAGAACTATTTCTAACCTGAGTGGGGTCTTCCAGGATGCTTTTGCGGCTTTTACAAGATACCAGTAAGCCGTAGTTCAGTTCCAACTTCCTTCCAGAAAGTTAATAATAGGACAGGAAGAGTTCATCTCAATGAAACTGGAGGAATTGAATATGCCAGCTCATCTCCTTAACTGGCAACCCAAGTCCTCTGCATCTAACAGAAGTCAGGGTAGTGCCACGTCAGAAGTCAAGTCACGCCGCCACCCACACCTGGTGCAGGAGGGTGTTTGGGGGAGGACCACACAGAGGGAGTGCCCGCCTGCTCCCTGCTCTTTTTAGGTTTCATCCTTTCCTGCAACAGCAGTTGTTGCCAAAGACTAGGCTCCTGGTAATCTTGGCAATCAGATACCTGCCTTACCTGCTGCTTCTAAGTGTTTCCTGCTCCATAAAAATAACCAGATTACAAATATGCAACATTTATGAAAGGGAAAGCAAATCATTTCAGGTAAAATGAGTTATGTTTTTCACTCCCACATGAATAAGGTGCATTACCAGCCTGCTGGCAAAGCGAACAAGTTGTAACCTGTGTTATTACAGGATCATTGCAGGCTGCGGGAGCAAATATTCTCATTTCCCTGCTTCTTCCACAGGCTGACTTAACAAGCAAACAGACAGGCTTGCTTATTCACTTCTGGAATACCTGTCTGTACGGGGAGCCAGACACCTTTTTCTGTAAAGGGTGCTATAAAGATAGTAAATGGTTGAGGCTTTACAGGTCATGTGGTCTCTATTGCAACTACCCAACCCCGCCATTGCAGCAAAAAAGCAACCACAGACAATATGTAAATGAATGAATGTGGCTGTGTGCCAAGAAAACTTCATTTGCAAAAACAGGCTCCGGGCTGCTGTCTGGCCCATAGGCTGTAGTTTGCTGGTCTGTGCAAACCAGGGCATGGGGGTGGGGAGGATGCATTGGCTTGTGTGTGAGCACAGGGTATGTGTGCGGAGGGGTGGAGGGGCCACAAACTCAAATTCCAAAGAACCTGAACACCCAAGAGACTCATAGACAGAAGGGATGAACAAAGCAGGCAGAGTGTGGTACTATAAGGAGGAGTGGGGAGCACAAAAAACTAGAGCACACAGGCCCTGCATCTAACGAGACAGGTTCTACTCAGCTCCAACTGTTCCTGGGTTCGTCCGAGTTTTTCTAAGAAATCAGAAATCCAATTGTTATTTGAAATCTCATGATCTTCAAATATTGATGACTAATAGTTACATTACATTGGTAAAACTCAGAATTTGCAGACCTACAATTTGCTTTTAATTCCACCATTTTTCATTCCACAAGTCTAAAAGAAAGGAAAGGACAGGAAAAGTGTTCAAAATAATTTTTTTAAGGGGATTTATATTCCCCTTAGGAAAACACATTGTAGGTAAGGGAAGTTGCCCCTACGATGCAAAAACATCATATACCAAAATGAATATGGGGTCAAGGAATTTCTTTTCTTTATAGTTAAGGCTATTTTTCCTTTGCCAACTCTTGGCTTTCAGCCCCAGGGAGTTTAAGATCTGAAAAACAGACCTGCAATCAATGTTGTAATGTTCCCAGTCCGAAGCCCTATTTTCCAACCTAACTGAAGCTCAGAGATGGAAAAGCAACAAGGTCACACAGCTCGTCTCCCAGATGCAGCTGGGCTAGAAAGAGCCAGGGCTGCAGGTCTGGAACATATTTCTTCCAGTGTCACAGTCCTGAAAACACTTCTCTCAATACTGAAGATGGCTGATTATTCAGGAACACAATCATGCCCTGTGTCCAGTCACTGACGCACTGCTATTTTCCTCATCCAGAGAGTCCTCTGCATCCTGAGCTCCCCACCCTGTGTCAAATTCTGGAGCAACAGCAGCCACTGAACGCTGGCCACATTCTGAAGCTGCTTGTCCAAGGGGGACACAGACTTAACAGAACGTCATCGTGGTCATGAGGCTTACGTGTTACAGAAATGGTATTAACCCGTGGATGGAGGAGGGAGAGAACAAAATGGGTGGACTGCCCAAGCTGATCAGCCTCCAGAAAGAGATGGGAGCCAATTTTTAAAGGACAGGTAGGAACTCACAAAATGTGTGTGCATCTGTGCACACACAGGGAACAGGCATACAAAGACAACTTTCTGCAAAGAGAAGGCAGTATCTGTTTAATGACTTAGTGCTGATGAGGAGAGGGTTTGCCCAGGAAGTTGAATTACTGAATCAGTGAAGGTTTGGGGATTATCTGTGGCCTTCTTGTTTCTTTGTCTTTAATCCCAACAGCTATAGGACAGCTACTGGGTGACAGGGGTGGGTCATCACCAACTTTAAGCCAGAGAGGCAGATCTAAACTCAAATGCAGCTTCTTACTAGCTGTGAGGCCTTGAGGAGGCAATTTAACCTCTCGGAATCTCTGTGCTTTTCATCTGTAAGATGGAGACAATTAGAGCCCTTCCTCACAGGGTTATTATAAACATTAATATCAATCCAGGAAAATGCTTCCAACAGGACATGGCACACTGCAAGCACTGCTTTTAATATTTATTATCTCCAAAACAATTATGTATGCTTTTCAAATTGCAATCCCTCCAGAAATTTATTTGCGACCCACCAATTTCTTCTCCTGTACTAAGATTCCCAATTCATTACTGTCCAAAATAGTAGCTACAAGCCACAGGTAGTCACGTAAATTTAAATGAAAATGTCCTTTCTTCCATCACATTTGCCACTTGCAAGTGATCAATGGCCACACGTGGTTTGTGGCTATCATACTGGGGAGCTCAAGTCTAGAACATTCTTACAGCTGTTGCTTAATTATTTCAAGTACAGACTGTGGTTAGAGTAGAGCCTGGCTTCATCCGTATTATTATTATTTAAGTCATTTAGCTCAAGTCATCTTACATCAGCCCTATGAAATTAGTAGTAGCTGTATCTTTATTTCCACTCCAGGAGATAAGAAACCTAGGCACAAAAAGGTTAACTTGCCCACAGCCACGTAGCACAAGCAGAGCTGGCATTCAGCTATGTCATTTTGAGAATGAAAATAGGTTAGCATGCAAAAAGGTACCCATCTCACAGTGCTGGGCATTTAACCGTTGCTAGGTTTCTTCCCAAGAAAGCAACAATCTCGTTTTATTCAACCTCCCATCCCCGGGGCCCACTTCAATGCTCCATAATGCGCAAAATGGATGATTACATCCCGAGGAATCCCTGAAGTGGTATCAGAACCACAGGGGCATCCTGTTTCCTCCGATGCTAGATTTGACCTCACGGTGCACTACAGGACCTCTCATTTTTTTGTTTAAAGCAGAGGAATTTCTAGCCTGCTTCACAGAATTTTAAAGCAAGAAGTCTCCTTAAACAAGATCCAAGATGGTGAATAGGTTTTTGAGTGTAATTGAATTGGTCCAAGATGCCGAGGGAGGGTGGGGCCTGGAATGCCCAGAATGCCCAGGGTCTACGCACAATGAGACGGAATGACGACAAATGACCAGAACAGCTGTCTCTCTTCCCGGACCTAAACCCACCATTTTACAGATGAGAAAACTGAGACCAGAAGGAGCCTCCCTTGGCCATGCAACCACCTCCAGGCACAGCCCAGAACCATACCACTGGTATGGCCTATGAGGAAAAAATCCTCAGGCCACATGGGGAAACAGTCCTAAAGCCTAAAAGACAAAATCCAAGGAAAATCTCGAAATCCTAAAGCACAGTATCTTCACCCTATCTGAGTCATTGCCCTGTCCCCAAAACAGATCTGCAAACCCTCTGGAAATTTCTTCACAGGCCCCTATTGAGCTGCCCTTTTTGTCCTATGCAAATAACAACCAGAGCAAGGCAGCTTGTTAAATGCCCAGAATACCAGCTATGAGAAAAATCCAGAAAGCTGCCTGCTTCTCACTAAGCACTTGTCCTGCTGGTGAAGACACCATTCCCAAGGGCCCTTTTACCTGTTCCTTATTGTTATTGTTCAGTAAGCCAGGTTTCTTTTTCTTTTTAATGGGGCTTGTTGATGTGTCCTGTGGCGAGTGGCCATTGGAAGAATGTGGAGGACTGGGGAACTTTCTTTTCTGGGCTGTTCTCTCTGTGGAGCCAGGATCTGAAAGAGACACACAGGATCACATATTTTAACGCCATCAGGGAGGCCTAGGCCCTGCAGGGAGTGCGGGTGTGGCACACAACACATTTTGTCCCTAAATCCAATGCCATTTTAGTGTTTCTCCTCCTGTAATATATTTACCCCCCTCTCTTCGTTGACTGCCTCAGAAGTCAAACAATCTTTCTTCAGTCTATATAACATTTTTCTAAAAATTTATTTCACTGCCAAGATATAAAAATCAGGAGACTTCACATAATAACCCAGATTTTTGGCTTCTCTTAAAAAAACAGATCAGGGCCTGTAGGGCCTTACGGCATCAAACAGATCTGCATACCAGCGAGCCACTTTTAGATGGAAATGTACCCTTCATTTTACCACAATCCCCACCCATCCTTACTGTGTCCCTGTTGACAGGGTCATGACCCAGCTGCCATGCACTGTCACACTGACACTGGTATTATCCTCATCTCAAAGAAGTATTTCTTCTCCATATCCATGCCAATGACAAAAGCAGGAAACCATGTAGACCAAAAGGCCACACACTTCAAGAAATCAAGAAAACATACCTCTCTGTGGAAAACAACAACATTTATTCGTGTTTTTCAGGCTAACAAAGTGTTAACTATGTAAAAAGAATATACCCCCTGACTCGAAAGTTCTCATTCCCAGTCACTGGTACGCATCATTTGTGCCTCTCCTGCATAGAGACTGACACAAATTCCATTCTCACTGATTTTCACCTGACAGATGCCAAACCCCCCTTATCAATTTATTCCTTTATGTTTATTTCCCCAGCATCTCATATAACACAGATACTGCCACCACCATCCAAGCTTCACCTGCAGGGACGTGGCTCCATTCCATGCCCGATGGCCGTCTTGTCAGCTTAAGGACAACACAGTGGCACGGCTCAGTGCACATTACACCCTGAGAAACGGAACTTACAGGCACCAGGAGGGGAGAGAGCTGTGCCAGGAGCACAGATGACAGGCTGGGATGTGGAATGTGGGATCCGGGAAGATGACTACCCCCAAAGATAACCTGACGATGTTCCTCCTCCAGTCTGAGTTCTCAGGCAAGTTCCAGCATGCAGGCTGTGTGTGTGTCTCCGTCCTCTGTGTCTGGACAGGAGCCGCTCGGGCAGATGAACAGGATCCAATACGGCCTATGCAAGGCCGCCTGGTGCTGTACCCTGACCAAAAGGCAGAGATCTTCCTGCAGCTCATAAAGGCAGGCATGAGCTGCTTTCGCGAACTCCAGTGCACATGATGGACCTCTCCAGGCTCACTGGGCAGGCTTCAGAAAAATCCCAAACAAATGTTCAGGGTGCTGCATGGGGACACAGCCCTGAGAGGAAATTAAATGCTAACCACAGGCACCCTGAGGGGGAACAAACCCCAGAGTTCTGGGGATCATCCCACAGACATCCAAACCAAGGCACCCAGAGCCCCACGGTGAGCCCAGAGGCACACAACAGCTTGTTAGTGAGAAAACGCACTTAAAAGGTGCAGCACTGGGTTGGTGCATCCCCCCGGAGAAAAACTCCTCCCGTTCCCTTGGGGATCCTCACCCCACTCCACCATCATCTGTGAAAACGCTCACTTTGTCCACATGGTCTTTGACGACAATCTCCTCCTAGAAACATTCTACAGATGCAGTCAGTCGGGGGCAGAGCACGCACAAGATGATTCACTGTAGCACATGTATCACGCCTGAGACTGGAAATGACTTAAATGTCCACAAACTGAGGACGGGGCTAGTAACACCCTAGAGCCACACAGCAGGTCTCTCTGCAGCCAGTACAAATACAGGCCACCTCCACCCCAACTGAGGAAGAGCACCCAGGCTTCTGCACCAGGGTAAAAAAGCTGTACCTCTAACACCATTAACAGACCAACACACACACCCCAAAAGATGTCACATATCCAAGTCTGCATGCGCCTAGAATATTCTTGGATGAACACATAAGTATGATGGCTCTAAACTGGGACTAGTGGTTACCTCTCGGGAGGAAAATTTGCAGGAGGTCAGGGAGAAATTATTTTTCACAGTGTGCCTTTTGTGCGTGTTACCATGTGCCTGGACTGCGTTACCAAAATAAAATAAAAATGAAGTATCCAGGAGGCTCTGTTCCACACCAAGCAGCAAGCATAAAGCAAAGCCAATAACAAGGCAATGACAGAAGCCTGTTTCAGGATAAAAAGTGTCACCAGATGGACGAAGTTGGGGCTGATCGCCACAGGCTTGTGGGCCATAGGAAGGAGTTTGGGATTTATTCTCCATGGAACCGATAAGCCCAAATTGCTCTGCTGATGTGTTGGGAGTATGGATGTTCAAGAAAGGTGTTTTGGGGTCTCCAAGGAGGTACATCCTGAACAAAATGCCATCCTGGCCAAGCAAAAATTGAGAGCAACTGGGTAAAGGTTCTGAGTTCATATGCTTTGTTTAGTTTGCAGGTCAATTTTGGAAGAAGAAAGTACATGAGCAAAAATGCACCAAAGGAAAAGTTAGGGGAAGATTCAGGGGAAAAGCAAGCATTGTTTTTTTCCACGTTTCTCAATGGAGCAACCAGATTTTGGAAGGGACAGCTCTTGCCCATTGCAGGGACAACCTAAGGACCCTCCCACTCAAGGCCATCAGTACTTCCACAAAATGTGAAGAACACATACCCCTACATACTTCCCAAATACTCCCAGACCAGTGGTAGCAGCACCTCGAAGACCTGCTAGGCTGGGATATGGGGCAGGGTGGCTAAAGCACACAGCCAGGCCAATGCCTACTCGACCTGCACAGCCAGGAAGGGCCCCAGCTCTCAAGTTCCCACCTGTGGCTCAGATCCCTGGGATGAAGGTTCCCAAAGTGGGGTCCCCCATACGAGCAGCCGTGGCACCACCATCTGGGAATTTGCTAGAAAGGCACAGTCTCAGGCCCCATGCCAGGTCTACAGAATCCAAGCTCTGGAGTAGGGCCTGGAGATCTGTGGTGTAACAAGACCTCAGGATTTGGATACAGGCTAAGTTTGAGACCCTTTAGGGCATGTGACTGGGGGATGGAGTCTGAGGTCTCCAGCCCAGAGAATCTGGTTTTGTGCTGGGAGGCCCATCTCCTCTCCTTCCCCACTACTTCCTGCAGGGCTGGTTGGAGACTGAGAAAACAGAAGCCAAGAAGGCAAGGAGAGAGAATAAAGACTGCTAAACAGAAGATGACCCCACACAAAGTCTCCTACTTCTCAGGGCCTCATCTGTAAAATGGGACAAGAGAGAAAGAAGCCAGACCTGAACTTTAACCTGGAGTCCATCACCGTGCCTTGGGGACCCACAGTCCACATGCCACAGTTCTGTACATGTCGGCAATTTCCTGGAACGAGGGGCCGTGCCCACTGCACCTTCTCAAAGGTGCCATCAATGCTCAAGATGAACAACTAGAGGACGAGAGGTTCTACGGTCCCTTTTAAACTTCCAAATTTTTTTAATTCCATGGGAAAGGAGGGGGGTGGAAATCACTAGAAATAAACACTCTCAAAACCAATTTAAGCTGGGGAGGGAGTCCTGCCCAAGCTGACTGGAAAACAAAAGGGGAACTGAGGGCCCTGCTCCGCGACAAGAAGGGTTGGCCCAGGGCTGCCACCACCTAGGAGGATGCCAACCTGCCCCTCTCGGCCAGACATCAAAAGCCAATTCTGTCCCTGGTTACAAACACACCGACTCCCTCCAGAGTTCCCGAGAGCTCGGCAGCTGTACCCAAGGGGTAGGAGCTTAATAGGTTCCAAACAACAGATGTATCTGTCAACAGCAAAGGTTCAATGAAGACTCTTAGGGAGAAAAGTTGGGAAATGCAGGCTGGATTCAATGTCTTTTGGAGGTATGAGACGGCAGGTCAGTATTTTGACTTAGAAACCTACCCACTCCAGTGGGGGCCAGGCCTCTGCTGGGGATAGAATGGTGGGTGTGGACCCGCTGTTGTCATGGTCATGACGCTGCCTTACAGGGCTTTTCCAGAAAGCTGAGTCAAGGGTTTTTTTTTCCTTCTTTAATCATTTAATTCTAGTGAGGACATATTGCTAAACGCCATTTCTTCTATAAATGCAAAAGATGACAACAGGCCCTATAGACTGTATCACCAGGGAATTGATCTGGAAGACCTTTCTGTGAGAAGGACGTGCCAATTCTACTGCCCTGTCCTGACAGGACCCTCTGCTTCCTACCCCCACCCCCCAGCACTAAATCTGGTTCTGAAGGAGTTAACGTGGGTGACAGGAGAGCTGGCTAGAGGAAAGGACAGAGCAATGACTCAGGAAAACAGCTTGCGTGGAGCAGGAAGCAGCAGAATCTTCCCCTCCTGACATTTCACTGAGATCTTTAATATGAGAAAGTCTACTGGGTATTAGGAATCAAGCATGTGATGCGACCCTGCCTGAACCTGTCTTGTGAGCCACCAGAAGCGATCCCACTCAGCCCTTCCTAGATGTCTCTTGACTTAAGGGACACCTTCCTTCAAGATAACCCGGCCTCTAAGCCTTCCCGAGCCACGGGTGTTAACAGCTAAGACTTTCTTTTATTGCATACAATGTACCAGGCACTATTCAAATTGCCTTTGGTGTCCTTCCCTCTAGGTCACCTGCCCAAAATCACACAAGCAGCAGGGCTGGGATTTGAACCGCAGCAGTGCGACCCCTAGGCCCAAGCATGGTCTCAGCCCAGGGAGGCCTGTCCTGAGCCGTGCGGCAAGACAACATCCTAACTCAGGGGTTATGTCTTAAGCATTAGGTGTACACTCTAATTTTGCCTTTATCTTTCTCAACTGCAGGTGATGGTATGGAGGGGTTAGGGGAAGGGCATTTCGGAAGATCCCCAGGAACTGGGCAGAAGGCAGAGAATTTGTGTGCATGTGTGTATGGGACTTAGTGATGATACACCCCATTTTTTCAAAATCAATCCACAACAAGCACAATTATTACCTCCCAATCTTCTGATGGTAGCACCTGAATCTGGCGTGCGCCA